ACAGAAAAAGGGGACCCTGATAATCAGGAAAGGAGACAAAGCAGTACAGCTTTCATAAGTGTCACTTCCCATCTGACAGCCACTGATCATTCAGGTCTCAAAACCAAAATGGGTGCAGGTGACCCAAGACATCACCTCAAGGACACCAGACATATTACAAACCCTATGTACAGGAAAAGCAGCTGGTCCAGAAGGTCTGCATTACTGCGCTCTTTCCATTTGCCAGTTAGTGAAAAATACATACATATGCATTCCAAAGACTATAAGCCAAAGTGTACAAATATTTAATATAAGGATTCACAGCAGCAAGCACAATAGTCAAAGCAACAGATAATGTCTTGGACAACTGTGAATTGAGACAAGCTCCTCACCTGTAATTAAATGGGAATTAATTTGTTCTCTACAGGACATGTTAGGGGGAAGAGTTTGTAAGTAGCAGTCTGACTCTTGTGGGTTGTGTTCCACGAGGCAGGATTTCTCAGTTAGTTTGGTTAACGTAAGCTAGAAGTAATGATTCTCCAACAAGTGTTGAGGTAAGGAGCATTCCTACTGGACAATCATGACTTCTAGCTTAAGCTAAACCAGCTAACTGAGAAATCCTGTGTCATGGAACACACTGAGGTACTATAAGAGGGACAAAGTATGGAAAACATTAGATTTCAGTCCAATTCAAAGTCATATTAGCCATATCAGCCCAAGACATTTCACACCTGTTGCGGCATGGAATTTTCAGGGTTTTTCCCCTGACCAATTAACTGCCAGCTTGCTCTTAAACAATTCTAAGAAAAATAATAAAATTCTCCAGGTCTGATCAGCTTGACATTCTGATACATCAAGCTTGCGAAATCCCATGCGTTGGCCTTGCCACTAAAACTCCAGCTCATGATCATGTGCTAGCAAACCCAAAAATGACATTCCTAATTAAGATTTTAAAAACAGCACTTTTTGCTTTTAACCAAGGTCAGGCCCATGTGTCAATCAAAGCAGAGTTGAAATGACATATTGCCATTTCTTGTCTATATATTTCTTTAACTTGTTACAAGCCCCCACAAAGCAAAATGAAAAACTGTTAGCAGTTTTTCCACAAGCTCAGCTTCTGGGCCACTGAGCCTGGAAACAATTAATACAACGGTTCTCTAATGAATACAAAGGTAATTCTCATCATATCTGTCTCTTAAGTGACAGTGGACTTCTGGGGGAAGGGGCTCGTATGAAAACATGACCACACAAGCTACTAAAAACAGGTGTACAACCCTCCATTCACAGCCACCAGCAGCCCAGGACACTGAATCTGTCTGTGCAGTGAGGGTGTTCACAAAATGTTCTGGGACAGAGGAAAAATGTGACCTGATCATTTGTACCTGACAAGAGAGGAACAGGCAAATGAAAATGAAACATTCCACCCAGCTATTCCAGACAGCATCACGGGGAGGAAAGGGGCATGGAGCCTATCCAAGGAAAAACGGAGTCCCTGGACGGACGCCAGTTGCGCAAAACAACTATGCAGAAAATTAACTTTTCTAATTTTACATCAGTTTAGATGTTTTCTAATTGTTTTTAGGTTTAGGCATGAAATAAAATCACTGAACTGCCTGTATATTATGATGTCAATGGCAAGTCCCAATAAGTTACATACATAATATTCAGAGGACTAGGCGCCTACGTTTTGGACGACTGCCATCCCGTTTAATCCGATAATGCTCTTTAATGAAAATGAGAAGGATCAAATGCTACGGAGGAGTTAAACAAGCACGGCTGATCAAAAACATACAAAAAGCAGAAATCAGTCACGATCGTCAAATTATTTCACACCTTACTTGGCCTACTTCATGATAAATTTACTGTCCTGCATATTGTTTTATGACACAGCTGTTCTCCAGTCGAATTGCTGCCATTTCGCGAGGCTTAAGTAAAAGTGAAGCAGAACTCTGTGATGGAAATATGCAACTATCGCCACGTTTCAAACAATTCAGAGACTCTGTAAAGCAAACACAGAAGCCTGGGTGTGGAGGAAATAACAATGCTTTGTGAGTAGACACGACGAATTTTTATTTTGTGGGTTACGTCCAACTACGTGAAAGATATGAAGACACTTAGTAAGTGACTTACTTAACAGCGTTCCTCCGAGGTGTCTCTCGGGTAGCGGTAACTGGTAACTGGGTAATACACTGAGCCAGGGCTCTCCTTAAATTCCGGCTTCCTCTCGCCATCTTCTTTATCACCGCCTGTTAGTTTCTTAGTTCTTACTTTCGGTTACGAACAGTGTCACTACTCTTGCAGCTGAGTTCCACTTCAGTAAAACGCAGATATCGCGCAGTCATGTGACCGCTTCTCATTGGCGGATTCACCCACAACATCGGCGAGCTTCGCTAATGACTCACGCATATTTGCGTGGGTCACGAGTTGCGGGATGGTTGTGTAAAAAAAACTGTAACTAGTATTGAAGCTAGTACGTGTGTACCATCATCAAAACAGCTAAAATATCCATGGGTAAATGTCCATGTGTATAAAATAATCAATAGATGTGCTTATTCCTTTTATTTCATATTTTTAACTGTTTGACGCAAAGTATTTTCTTTACTTCCTTTTATAAATAAAATACAATTCTGTCATTTTCAATGTTATTGGAAGGGTTTTCAACCTGGAGTCCAAGACCGTAGATCAGCTGTACAGGATTAATTTTGTAAATCGATAAATTGACAAAATGTCACTGTACATAATGGGGAAAATATTATAGAAATTTTAAGCACTATAGTTCCTTAGTTACGCATGTCATTAGGACATATTAGAGTCCCTTGCTCTGGTTTCCTCTATTGTTATTTGGGGTAGCCTAGGGTGTCGACATAGAACAGCTAAGGCAGTGGTTCCCAAACTTTCTCTGCAGGGCCCCCCTTTTCTAGATAGGAACATTATTGAGCCCCCCTCCCATTCAAAATACACAGGTTCAGATTCAAACTTTATTTGAAATACAACTCTAATTGAGCGAAACAAATGCAATTACAAAATACAAATTGTGCAATTTCACTACTGTGGGATAAAAAAGACCAATCAATTAAAAATATGGATATTAAAAATGGCCATTGTCACAGGTGTGAAATTTTGAAAACCCCTGTGTTACAATATCACACATAAAATATGAATTTACCTAATACTAATAATACTTTACTTACGGTACCTATTCACATGTAAAGGATGTTCATCATTAGCTAGTCTTTGTATCATGCTCTTTAAGTAGAGACGTCACCAAGCATATGCGCACGCGCAAATCCGCCGTGTCGAGTCTAAAACGGAAATACAAGAACCCGGGCTTCCGGCATAGTCTCGCACAATAGCACGAAAATGGCGAAGATCGCCAAAACACACGAAGGTATGATAAAATAATATTATACAAATGTTAATATATTTCTGATATCGTTTGTAATAGCTCAGTTGTGCATAAACAGTGCATTTGTTTATATTTTTGTTATAAAATCGAGTATGTTATGGAGGTTTTTGAGATGGTAGGATAAACGGCAACGAGGACGGAAAAAGATAATGGCGTCCCGAGTGTTGAATTTTCATAAGCGTAGGCCTTACCGAATGTCGCATGTTTCAAGCGCACGTTCTAAAAACATTTTTTGTTGTTTCGGCAGTGTTACGATTTCTTAATTAAAGATGTTTAGGTAATGTTGGTAATATTTAACGATTTGTTGTGAAATTGATTTTGGTCACGTTTTTCCCGTTAATCATGGTTTAGTTGCCGGAAACGATAGATTGTTATTTTCTAAACCAAGTATCATCGTCTTTGTTGATGTACCTGCATAATTTAGAAAGCCGCTTAAGGTTATGTATTGATTTTATTCACAAGTTGAATATTTATTAAATTGGAGAATTCCGCAGTATGCTGTTATTGCAGATTACAACTAGGTAAATTGCTTCTTAACAGGCCATCATACGCCATGATTTTTATGCGTCGTCTTAATCTTGCTAGTCGATTTGTTTACGTAGTATGTTATTATTGAAGTACAGTATCGTAAGTTTACACGCATTTTAAACGGTTAAATGCGCCTGGCGCTGAAGCGCTATATCTTGCGTTTCACAAAGACGTCCGGTATATGTACTTATTTGTTCATTAACATGGTTTTTATGTGTTTGTAACCCTGATAGAGGTCTGAATGCTTTTCATATCACTCTGTGTTAATTGCCTTTTCCTTTTTACAGTATGTCGAATAGTTTTTGATTTTCATTTTATATGGTAATTTCAGTGAACTCAACCCTTTTTTTCATCCAGACATTGAGGCCCAGATCCTGGAGATCCAGGGGATGAAGGCTGCCCTGTTGGAGGAGGGAGATCAGGGTGTGGGTCTGGATTCCACTGGTTACTATGATCAGGAGATCTATGGGGGGAGCGACAGCCGCTTTGCTGGATATGTCACCTCTATCGCAGCCAATGAGCAGGAGGATGTAAGCAAATCCCATGTTGTTTTTCTTTTTGAGTTCCCCTAAATACTTTCTTATTCGGAAAATAATTTGGGCTTGATTGAACTCTCCCTCTTTCTTCCAGGATGATGAGGAAGACTCTTCCACTAGTCTTCTGGGACAGAAGAAACCAGGGTATCATGCTCCGGTTGCTATACTCAATGCTATTCCACAGTCAGATGAACAGGTAAGTAACTTTATATTCAGCAGCTTACCTGGACTCGTTCTCTTAATCTGTTCTTGTTAGTTAGTTTTTATCCTTTTGGAATTTTCCCACCTGTTTCATCTATGTCCTGATCATGTTCCTTCTCCTTCAGTATGATCCATTTGCTGAGCACCGTCCTCAGAAGATTGCTGACCGGGAAGATGAGTACAAAGCTCGTCGGCGACAGATGATCATCTCTCCTGAGCGGCTCGACCCATTTGCAGATGGTAAATTCTGGCCCTCCATTCCTCTTATCGTTCCCTCCTCCCATGAGAAACACTACACCCCTGGTTATTTGTCCCCGGTTGTATGCCACCTGTCCAGCCTATGTGGCTTTTAATCCTTTGAACACTATGTGTCTGATTGCACCCCAAACGGTTCCCTCTCTTAGCATCCTCTCAAAAACTGAAAACTCTCAAATGTCAGCACAAATTGGGCTTGATTTGCTGCCATCCAACTCCCAATCCCCTTTTCCGTAATTTTCCCACGCCAGGCAGAGGAACTTGACCCCAAATTAAATTAGTGTGCTGCTTAATGTCAACCTAGTACCCCGAGTCATTAATAAATCATTAATTTCATTATCAGGATTTTTTGAAATGCTAATTTTAGTGCCAAAGTGTTGTTTTGTTAATGTGCAATCCACACCACATATTTTTGCAGAGAAAAGAATCTTTATATTAAGCAGGTTGTCATGTCTGGGATTCTTGCTTTTCAGAGGGATGCAGTTGGGTATTTCTGTATTGTGCAGTTTACCCTGCAAAACATGGGTTGCAGAGGGCTTCGTATGTGCGTCAAAGGGTTAATGGACACATTTCATATCCATGTCCTTTTAATACCTGGTAACTGAATTTCAGAAATGGTACATGTGTAAGTATTTCAGCACATGAAAAGTGTTTGGTTGGTTGATTTGCACTCTGTGGCACTCAGGCTGTGGGAATCTGTGGTTTCTGGCAGCATGTCTAGGTCAGGTAATCATAAGGAAGGCTAGAAATGTACTGGCTCTTTGCAACACTCCACAGAAATCAGCCAGCGGCCCAACAAGGTTAGCTGTGCCGGTGCAGCACCTGCTGTGATGGCATCTTGACTGTTCCCTTCTTGAAATATAATCTTAAACTGCGTTACGCTCAGACACAATCCCATGTCTCTTAGTCTTTTGAGAAGCATTCATTGTAGGGGAGTGTGGCTGCTTACTCTGTTCTTGTGCATATTATGGAAAGGGTGGGGTTATTTAACGGTGATTCAGGGGGAAACTTGTCATATCCAGGAATATTGACATCCTTACAAGGTTTATTTATTTTTCAATAATTTTTTGAAGGCCTATTTCTAATATTACGCAAACAGGCCTTGGGGTGAATTAGTAATGGAATTAACCTGTAGGTTTTCATGTGACAGGCTACAACTGTCACTGCTTAGGGATTTTCCCACTAGGCATTCCTGTTATTAGTGGAAAGGAATTTGGGTTTCATGAACTTTTGATGTTCCAGACCCAGTTTTGGCTTAGAACATTTGACTGCAATAAGTGCAGTGATTTCAGCCCCTAGTTTGCTTAGAAATAGTCAGCTGGCATAGTTTGCAGGATCTTTCAAAGCCATTGGCTCTGTTTGGTTTATTGGGCGAAGACGTGGGGAAATGGTGATTGGCCGACAACTGTTGGTCTCTCTTTGAGCATCAGGGGAAAGCAGCCCACTTAAGTGATTCAGGGGGCTTCGCTAAATACTGTGCCCTACTGTGCCCAGGTGCTGCGCTACTGCAGACTACCGGACTGTTTCTCTCTAACTTCTGTAAGTCCTTAGTATAAACGCATTAGGTAAGACCATTTCCCCAGCCACAGTCTTAAGGTTCCCAAGAAGTTTTTGGAACCAAGGTCTTGTAAGACTGCTTCAGAAACTAGTTGTGCTTGTCTGTTTCATAACTATTTTGCTAAGTGTTTGGCATACTTGGCCTCATAGCCTGGAGGACACTGAATTTTTGTCCCCTTCCGCTCTTTTATTAGATTGACAATTTTCTAACCTGAGCAAAGTTTAATAGAAAACCCCATTCAGGTTTTTTTTTTTGTTTTTTTTTTGAGATCTATCTAAACTGCATGTAGTCAAATCCAAGTAGTTATCCAGCATCTGTTATACAAGCAAGAGTTGTGTGTAAATATATTTCCATTTTAGGTACATTTTAAAATGGAAATATATATAAAAGAATCTGTGTACCGCGATTCCACAGGCCCATACTAACTGTCCTTAATTTCTCTCCTACAGCAGTACTGCTATGCCAGTCCTGTCTGCATTCTCATAAGAGTGCAGCAACACATCCTGTGTAGGTTATGGTGAAACAATCAGAAGCAAGCGTTGTCAGTTATGTCAGGCCCCTGGGCCCCGATGGGCCGGCTGGTTGTGAAGGCGTGTTAGTGGCCTCCTAAAACCACCTGGTTCTTAACAATCCTCAGTACTCCTGGTCATCAGTCCACTTTCAGCTTTTTAATGGAGTTAGGCTAGTCAGACATGGGAATTTGATAAATTAGTTTGACTCATTGTTAAATTCCCAGTTTCTGGAGTCTCTTTTTTTTGGGGGGGGGTGGGGGGGGCAGAATTAACATGGACACTGTCCATTGGGAGCCCTTACTAATAAGGGTCTCTGAGTCCTGGTCTTTAATGGTATCCCTTATCTGGACAGCATTTAAAAAAAATTTGATTATTGTCACAAAATGAAAAACCAAAGCTTATATAGCAGGATCTTGAAATATCAAAATTTTTAGATGAGTGACTCCAGCAGTTAAGAATTTTAAGGGATTTCCAAGATTAGAGTACAATGAGGATATTTTCTCTAAGTAACGTAAAAGCAGGTGGTATGCTTTGTGTGTGAGTTCAAACCCTTTTCCAAAGTGTTACTAATGGTAAAGAGAATTTTCTAGGCTTCTTTTCTGCCGGTTGAAGTCGACTGCAGAAGGACCCTGGCACAGAGAGTGTACGTATTCTGGAGAGCTCAGCCCAGGACTCCAGCATCAGTGATGGCTTTACCCTCCTTATCTCTTACAAACCTCAGCTGTTTCTCTTGTATCTGCCTGTTAGTTATGTTGTTAAATGAGGATTGTTTTGTTCAAGCTGTACATAGGGCTGTTATCTTAAAAAAACAAAACAAACAAACAAACGCACAGTAAGTTTTGTTTAAGGGCGTGACCCCAATAAGCATTTGATTTAGGTGGAAGTTCAGGGCTAGCTGGCTGTGTTGTGCTTGTGTGTAAGACGGGAGGTTTTTGCCGCTGACAGTCTCGTTTTTTGTTGGTGCTCTTTTCACGCAGGAGGCAAAACGCCAGACCCCAAGGTACAGGCCCGGACGTACATGGACGTCATGAGGGAGCAGCACCTCACCAAAGAGGAGGTAAGCGCGTTTGCCTGTGGCCCGCGGGTGCCCGCGCCCGCACTGCGTTCTCACTCCATGCCTGTGCCCCCCCTTGCAGAAAGAGATCCGCCAGCAGCTGGCAGAAAAGGCCAAATCCGGAGAACTGAAAGTTGTCAACGGCTCCACAGCCTCTCAGGCCGCCAGCGCAGTGAAGCGGAAGCGACGCTGGGACCAGACTGCCGACCAGACGCCCAGCAACGCCACGCCTAAGAAGGTGTCCAGCTGGGACCAGGCTGATGCCGCTTCAGAGGTGAGGTGGCATCTTCAGCTGCTTGCAGAGTGCAGGTTGATGTGCTCGTGTATCTTAAATACTTGGAGGGTGTTGCAGGCAGCTGTTTGCTGCACTAAATTGTGATTAAAGTTGAAATAGGGTGGAAAACTTATGCATGTAAGAGTTTTCTAATGTAGCAGATTTATTTGTGGAATGACGTGTCGTGTCATGATGTGTGAAGAGCCTGAGGCATTTCATTGCGGTTAATGACCTGAGCTGCTCCATGCCTTTCAGACTCCAGGCCACACCCCCTCAAACAGCCGCTGGGACGAGACGCCCGGCCGGCCCAGGGGCAGCGAGACTCCCGGGGCCACACCCAGCTCACGCATGTGGGAGCCCACGCCCAGCCACACGCCAGCCGGAGCCGCCACGCCGGGCCGTGGGGACACACCCGGGCATGCCACGCCAGGCCACGGGGGGGCCACCTCCAGTGTGAGGAAGAACCGCTGGGACGAGACTCCAAAGACGGAGAGGGGTATGTGCGATGGCTGGCCCAAAAAGTCACGCTGAAATTAGCTATTAACTTCTTAATATACATGGCAGAAATGTTAGCTGTGCTCCAAGGCCTGGCTGCTGAGCTGTAGTGACTGTAGTGATACCCCCCTCCCAAATTCAGAGACCCCTGGCCATGGCAGCGGCTGGGCTGAGACCCCCCGCACCGACCGCGGCGATGAGTCTGTCGGGGAAACCCCCACCCCTGGGGCCAGCAAAAGAAAGTCCCGCTGGGATGAGACCCCTGCCAGCCAGATGGGCTCCTCCACCCCCCTCCTGACTCCAGGGAAGACCCCCATTGGGACCCCAGCGATGAACATGGCCACCCCCACACCTGGTAAGCAAAGCCTCGGTTTGTTTTCATGTCCACTTTGCAGCTTGTCCTGTGTGTCAGGTGTCATATTTCTGAAGTTGGTTGTGGATTCGGTAGTTTACAAGGCGGTCTGTCCTCAGGACACCTTATGAGCATGACCCCAGAGCAGCTGCAGGCCTGGCGCTGGGAGAGAGAGATTGACGAAAGGAACCGGCCACTTACTGATGAGGAGCTGGATGCCATGTTCCCAGAAGGTTACAAGGTACGGTGCTGGTTTAGGTTGACTGGACTCTGGAGTTGCGTTGACGCTGGCAGACAGGAAGATGCTTGAGGGTGACCTGCTTCTTGCTCCCTTAGGTGCTGCCACCCCCGGCAGGTTATGTACCCATCCGCACTCCGGCCCGCAAGCTGACTGCCACTCCAACCCCCATCGGAGGCATGACTGGTTTCCACATGCAGACTGAAGATCGCAGCCTGAAATCAGTCAATGACCAGCCTTCTGGGAACCTCCCCTTCCTCAAGCCCGATGACATCCAGTATTTTGACAAGTTGCTGGTGAGTGTATATATATATTTCTGATCCCTGGGTCCTGACTGCATGACTCCAAAGGGTAAATGCTTCTGGTTCTGTCACACTGACTCATTTGCATATGGTGGGGTTTAGGTGGAAGTGGATGAGTCTACTTTAAGCCCAGAGGAACAAAAGGAGCGTAAAATCATGAAGCTTCTGCTGAAGATCAAGAATGGTACTCCTCCCATGAGAAAGGTGAGAAGTGTTCCATCACCATGACGATTTTTCTATGTTGTATCTCTTCTGCTGGATAATTGCCATCATTTGCATTTCACATCCCCTGCTGTCTTGGTCCCTTTCAGGCTGCTCTTCGTCAGATCACCGACAAGGCTCGCGAATTTGGGGCAGGACCCCTCTTCAACCAGATCCTGCCCTTGCTCATGTCGCCCACCCTTGAGGATCAGGAGCGTCACCTGCTGGTCAAGGTCATTGACCGTATCCTGTACAAGCTGGATGACTTGGTCCGGCCGTATGTTCACAAGGTGAGTTTGATTAGGACTTTGTCTGGATAGCAGTAAACTAAATTGGGTTACCATATAAAGAGAGCAGGATTAAATGTTCTAATCATAAGTAGTATTAAAGTCAGTAATGTGTACTTTTGGCTTGTTCTGCTTCAATTTCTGATTGGCTGCATGTTTGGTTAGATCCTGGTGGTGATTGAGCCCCTCTTGATCGATGAGGATTACTATGCCAGAGTGGAAGGCAGAGAAATCATCTCTAACTTGGCCAAGGTGAGTACACAGTAACCCACACCAAAACCTATGTCTGTAGTGGCTGTCACGGCCTTAATTTCATCTTTTAACAATTAAAAAAAAAAAAATTGGTTTTCAAACCTGTAGTGTGTCCTACAGACAGTTTAATCTTTGAAGAAATGTTCAAATAACTTCTGAATTTGTATGTTTTGGGGGAAACTGCTTTATAAACTGGCTTGTAGTAGCCTTAGTGTGAGCTTGCAGTTTTTTTTTGTTTTTTTTTTTTTAAGTTAGAACTTCAAATAGACTTTCTCTTGTCGTCTCAGGCGGCAGGTTTGGCCACCATGATCTCCACCATGAGGCCTGATATCGACAACATGGATGAGTACGTGAGGAACACAACAGCCCGCGCCTTCGCAGTGGTGGCTTCCGCCTTGGGCATCCCGTCCCTCCTGCCCTTCCTTAAGGCTGTGTGCAAGAGCAAGAAGTCATGGCAGGCGCGCCACACCGGGATCAAGATCGTGCAGCAGATCGCCATCCTCATGGGCTGTGCCATCTTGCCTCACCTGCGTAGCTTGGTGGAGATCATTGAGCATGGTCAGTGAGACATTAAGTGTAATGTCCTGTGGTATGTCAGTCTTGTTAGACAAGTCTGAGTTTCACGTGTTAACAAGCTGGATGTCTAAGTTACTTGTACTTTTATGTAAAATTTGTGTAGTGTTCGACAGGTAGAATGTGTTTGAATAGCCATTGCTGCTGATATGTGTTGCCTTCTCTAGTTGTGCTAGAGATCACGACCCCGCTTTAACTCCGGCCTCCTCTCACAGGGCTGGTGGACGAGCAGCAGAAGGTGCGCACAATCAGTGCCCTGGCCATTGCCGCTTTGGCTGAGGCGGCCACCCCTTACGGTATTGAGTCGTTCGACTCTGTGCTCAAGCCTCTCTGGAAGGGTATTCGACAACACAGAGGCAAGGTGAGTAAGGAGTCCGGGGAAAACTTCTAGAGTGCTACATGAGTATTCTAGTGAAACCATAGTGGACAGTCTTTCTAAATGTTGCTAGAATTTCTGAACATGGGCAACCTTCTGCAGGGTCTGGCTGCCTTCTTGAAAGCCATTGGTTATCTGATCCCCCTGATGGATGCTGAATATGCCAACTACTACACCAGGGAAGTGATGTTGATCCTCATCAGAGAGTTCCAGTCCCCTGATGAGGAAATGAAGAAGATTGTACTCAAGGTCAGTAATTCGGCGTGGTTGGTGTTGTGGTAAACATTTTTATTTGGAGTTATTCATACAAGTCTGTTTGTTTCCTTAGGTGGTGAAGCAGTGCTGTGGCACTGATGGTGTCGAGGCCAACTACATTAAGACTGAAATCCTGCCACCTTTCTTCAAGCACTTCTGGCAGCATAGGATGGCTCTGGATCGACGCAACTACAGACAGGTAATGTCACCTTAAGATTAATTTTGGTCACAATGATTTTCCTCCTAGTGGATATTTGAGGATAAGTCTTGTATTGCAAAGTGAATGAAGTTTGCATATTTACTTCTGTCCTGTCTTTACCCAAGCTGGTGGATACCACTGTGGAACTGGCCAACAAGGTGGGTGCAGCAGAGATCATCTGCCGAATTGTGGACGATCTGAAAGATGAAGCAGAGCAGTACAGAAAGATGGTCATGGAGACCATTGAGAAGATCATGGGTAACCTAGGTGCTGCAGACATTGACCATAAGCTGGAGGAACAGCTCATTGATGGCATCCTCTACGCCTTCCAGGAACAGACCACAGAGGTGAGTTCTATTATACCTTTATGGTCGTTTGAAACCTACAGGCAATGTATAAGGTCGTGTTTTTGTATTTAAGGTGTGTGTGTCTGGAAAATATGGTTACAGACTCTTTCGATTTTGTTTTTTTGCTGTTGGCTGTAAACATTAGGAAAACCCCTTGACATGGATCAAACTTTTTTTCAGGACTCTGTGATGCTGAATGGCTTTGGTACAGTGGTCAATGCCCTTGGGAAGCGGGTGAAGCCCTACTTGCCTCAGATCTGCGGTACGGTCTTGTGGCGTCTCAACAACAAATCCGCAAAGGTGCGACAGCAGGCGGCCGACCTTATTTCCCGCACTGCCGTGGTGATGAAGACCTGTCAAGAGGTAAGTGCTGCGTTCCAGTTCATCATGACTGTTCCCTTTTGAGTTGTTGGTCATGGTAGATGTTTTAGTATGTGATAAACTGACCAACATTACTCATATGTTGAAAGAAAAACCAGGGAAACTTGTGTGTGGTTTTGCAAGCAAGTGGGTCTAATTTTAACCCAATGTATGCTCTTATGTCTGCACTGGTTAATGTTTATACCAGTTGTCTGCTCAAGCCACAAACTAGACAGCCAGTTGTCCTGCCTTTTTTCCTGACTAGCATTTATTTGGTCTCTCTGCAGGAGAAGCTAATGGGTCACTTGGGTGTGGTCTTGTATGAATACCTGGGAGAGGAATACCCTGAAGTGCTGGGCAGTATTTTGGGAGCCCTGAAGGCCATTGTCAATGTCATTGGTATGACTCAAGTTCATAAGCTTGTAAACCTGTTTCTAATGCTCCACCTGCTTGAAGCTGCTCCCCATTCAGAACATGTTGCATGTGTTTCTTGGGTGAAGGGTCTCCCACTTGACTAAATGTGGTCTTTTTGCAGGCATGCATAAAATGACCCCACCCATCAAAGACCTTCTGCCCCGCCTGACACCCATCTTGAAGAACAGGCACGAGAAGGTGCAAGAAAACTGCATTGACCTGGTGGGCCGAATTGCTGACAGGTCAGTGTGGAGCACTGGGTGCAATTGACAGCTTTAGCATTTATTTGGTGTTACCAGGGGACTGACATTATCGCCATGTCATCTTCCCAGGGGTGCGGAATATGTGTCTGCCCGAGAATGGATGAGGATCTGCTTTGAGCTGCTGGAGTTATTGAAGGCCCACAAGAAAGCCATTCGGAGAGCCACTGTCAACACCTTCGGCTACATCGCCAAGGCCATTGGGTCTGTAACTGCACATGGTCATGGACCATATGCGTGTTGTAGTATATAAATGGAAACCCAAAAAAACTGCTTTAAATTCCTTGCTTGATGAAGATCTCTAAGGTTAAGGGTCGTGAACTGTTTTCTGACTCATTCCTTTTCTGGAGTGTACATGACTGGGTACATTTTTGTTTTTCTTTGTTGAATCTTCTCACTCCCTTCCACAGTCCTCATGATGTGCTGGCCACCCTGCTGAACAACCTGAAGGTACAGGAACGTCAGAACCGTGTCTGCACCACGGTGGCCATTGCTATTGTAGCCGAGACCTGCTCACCTTTCACCGTGCTCCCCGCGCTCATGAACGAGTACCGAGTGCCCGAACTCAACGTCCAGAATGGCGTGCTCAAGTCCCTCTCCTTCCTCTTCGAGTACATCGGAGAAATGGGCAAGGATTATATATATGCCGTCACCCCCCTTCTGGAAGATGCCCTCATGGACAGGTCAGCCACCAAGCCTTGCTAGTTTAGTCCAGTGTTCCTCAGTCCAGTCTTTGGGGACTCTGTTCCATGTTTTTGCTTCCTCCCAGCTCCCACGAGGAGCAAAAACATGGACCGGATGTGTCCTCGAGGACTGAGCTGAGAAACAATGTTTTACTATATGTCAAGATTTATTTAGCATGAATGTTATCTATATTTTGTCAATCTACCTCCTAATGCACCCCTTAGTGCTATTGATGATCTAGTCATAGCCTGAGGAGAGTAACCCCCCCTCCCCCCCACCATGTACTCATTCTGTCTCTGCAGGGACCTGGTGCATCGGCAGACAGCCAGCGCCGTCGTCCAGCACATGTCCCTGGGCGTCTACGGCTTTGGGTGCGAGGACTCTCTCAACCACCTGCTGAACTACGTGTGGCCCAACGTATTTGAGACGTCGCCACACGTCATCCAGGCGGTGATGGGCGCTCTGGAGGGCCTGCGGGTCGCCATCGGGCCCTGCCGCATGCTGCAGTACTGTCTGCAGGTACGTCCGCCAGCTCTCCGCCTTGTGTACTGTCAGAGTGTTTGGGTTGTGTCCATGCCTTGGCTTGCGTTTCTGTTGAATACAGCTGTGGATATCTTGCTTGGTGCATTACTTAGACATAATAGATAGTGCTGGGAAATTATACTGGTTTTAAAGCAAAATCCCTAATTGATTTATCATGGTAATTAAAATCATGCCGGTTAAGTAAACATTACCAGGCTAAATATATGGTAATAATCAATGACATCTCCATGGAGCTAAATATACGGTTATAATCAATAAAACATGTTGCTGTCTGGCTAAATATACATTATTCATATAATAAAATATGTCAGTGAAATACTTACTGAGCCAAGTACACGGTAAAAATCAATAAAACATGTCACCATGAAGCTGAATATACATTACTATAATAAAACATGTTGGTTATACTGTCAAACTAGATGTAATTTTTTTTATATAATTAATAAATCTTTTTAAAAACATTTATGAACATTTTATTGATGTGAACAATGGCTGCAGTGGTAAGAGTAAACTTAGAAGGGAAAAACTGACATACTGTGAAACTGGCAGAATTTTAAATACAATGCTACAAATTTTGGTCATACATCCCAGCACCACTAATGGATACTAAATACTGGTGTTCATTCTGAAGGATAATTAAGATCTAGGCCACTGGGATTTTGTTTCTTCTCTGCTGGGTTTCTCATGCTTTAATAGAGCTGAATAATACTGTAACCCTCCGGGAAAGCGAGGGATTTCTGAGGCGTGCTGTACATGGAGGCTAATGTCTGCCTGCTCTTTTTCCCCTCCCTCTTACCCAGGGTCTGTTCCACCCAGCCAGGAAGGTACGTGATGTGTACTGGAAGATCTACAACTCCATCTACATTGGATCTCAGGATGCTCTGATTGCTCACTATCCGCACATCTACAACGACGAGAAGAACCCTTTCATCCGCTATGAGCTGGAGTACTTCGTATAGAGTCTTGTTACTCTGTCCCTCCATTCGTGTGTACTGCCTCTTAGGGAACAGGACTTTACACACACACACACACGCGCGCCCACACACACACATGCACACACGTACATAGGATTCATTCTGTTTAGTTGTATGTGTCTGATAGTGAGAGACCAATCAGCCACGCTGGCAGCAAGCATTGTTTTTATTAAAAGACATTTAAACTCCAATGAAACAACTGATTCTGTAACTTCAGTTTTAAAACTTTTTTTGTTTGAAGAATGACAGAGGGGTCATGGCCTCTTTAGAAATGGTCAGTGAAATGTTGTTATAACCTTAAATATTACTGTCCTAGTTTAGCAGCCTTTCAAGGCAGTCCATCCTGGGGCCCAGCCTCCCTTTCTCTGTTCTTAATTGAGATATTTCTTTATTTGAAATAAACGTTTGTGTATAAAATGTCTGCCTGTCTCTTTCAAGCCCCCACAAATGACTTGGATGGTGGACTAAATTTTCAGTGGTGTGCTCTGCTTGTGCTCTATCAGGTCCAAATTACAGACTCCAAACTTCATAATTTAGTCATTTGATGGCTTTGATCAATTCCTGTTCTAAGTATTACCAGACCTATTCCATTAAAAAAAATTTCCCCAACTTACAAGAATCTGACTCGTGTTGCTGTCATTTGCGCTCCCTTATCTGCCAGTTTTATTCACACATTGTAGAAGTTTGCAGCTTTCATTTTATTCAAAGAAAAAGTATGAGTCATTTCTGAAATGTATTCCTCATTACGGTGCTGCAGGTACGCTGTCTTGGGCACTGGAGAATCCTTTATTATGTCTTCTGAATGTAGATGAAGTATAGAAGTGATCTTTGTTTTGCTGGGACAGCCGTGTAGGGTTCAGCTGGTGTGATGGAGATGCCGTTTGCTACAAGGCCTCCCAGCTGACGGGAAGCCTGCCCACTTCGAGCCTTATCCTGTTTACTGTCATTACTTTTTGCTTATGCACATCTTCATGGGTATCAGTTATTTATGGAAAAGCTAAAAGGTATTTCCAGAGACGATTGGCATTGGCTGAAGAGACCGTTTTGACTACTGGGCCACAGGCTGCGCATGTAGCAGTTAAAGCTGCTGTTGCTTAAGAGGAAGCAGGCGAACACCTGCCTCTGCCACGAGAAACGAAGGCGCTCCGAGTCCAGATTTGTATCAGCAACAGGAAGCGCGGGTGACATGCCATCCCAACCTGTCCTGCACAGCTGCTGCAAAGGGGAAGTGACTGAGGCCAGGAGAGGTCTGAATCATGCTGCGAAGGGCGGAGGAAGTTGACTGGTTTCATTTCAGCTACATGACTTGGTAGAAGCAGGAAATAAATGAGCCTCAGTTAGCCAGTGCTGCCTGTTTCCCTCCCTCCGGTTCCACAAACCAAGCAGGAATATGCCAAAGCCACTTGAATTTCTGGAATGCCGTACTGTACCGACTCTGCCAGTTCCACCAAGACGAGAATCTGCCACAACTGAATAAGCCAATAAGTGTCTTTCATCCCCCCTCTTCCCCCTAACAGTGGAAAGTTGCTTTCTGCAAGGATCCATTCATCTTGATTTTCCGCTGCTCAGCAGAAAGTCACACGCATTGACCCAGTTTCGATGGTGAATCTGAGTGTGTACATGCCCATAGAGGCCATTGCTTCAGTGCTATAGGAGATCTGGTCTGAGGTCCATTAGGAGTCCTGCCAGAGGTCACACTAAGAGCTCATCCAGTATGTTTTAAGACAGTGCAGGAAGTGACACCCATAGAGTGGGTGGAGTGCAAATTAGAATGGTTTTCTTTCAGTGAATGGGCTTTCAGAAGATCACACCAAGACTGCGCAGCTTCTGTGGAGGTGGGGCTTGAAACTGGAGTGTGTCTCAGACTACTCACAGGAAATCACTCTGTGCCCAAAGGCATCTTCGTGAAACTGGCAAACAAACTGAATGCTACAAATACAGAGGTTAATAATGAAGAAAATACAATGGCAGGAGGGCACTTAACACAGCATATCTGCCTCTGCCTTTGCCTAAAAACAGAAAAACTAGACAAACCGTGAGATGATGATTAGAAAATCGTCCATACAAAATATATCACGCAGGGTCAGCTGATGAAAGTGCCTAGCAGCCTGCAACCTCTTCCTAACCGTGCAGCAATTCGTGGGTATATGTCTGTGCAATGATGTTAATCACCCTGGTTTGGATACGGAAAACACACCTATTTCTGTTGCTAAAATCATCTTCTAATGACACAACTGAAGGCTATTGCGGGGAAATGAGAATGTAATTACCTAGTCATAGCGACGCAATCTCCATATAAACGACCTGCTTTGGACAGAAGTGACGACGAATGCAGTCATTGTGGGTGTTATACCGGCATGAGACCACAAGGGGGAGGCAGTGTAGCGGCATTTGGAGCGCAGCGGGCGCTGACAGTCGACGACGAGCCTGTGTAGCGCAGCAAAGGAGGAGAGGGGTGCTTTAACTTCCTGTATGCTCCGCAAGTATCGGCATTCTCGCATTATCGTACATGCCTAAGAGTACTTAGACGCCCGTGAGTGATAGGGCGCCGGTGTATACGTGAGTATATGGCAAAAGGCGAAAGGCAGCCTGAGTAATTAGCTAAATGCGGAGTGTTTACAGCAGCCGGAGCCGCCTGCCCTGCCTCCCTTCCTCCAGTTCGGATCTGCGTACAGCGGCTGCCGCTGCGCTGAATCTGGGCTGCCTCAGATAGCATCTGGAGAAGCGGCTGAATCAGAGGACACAGCCCGGGCCCTGGTCATTCGCCTCGGATCGGCGAGCAGCGGCCGGCTGCATGCAGCTCGCGTTGTAATAATAAGAATAAAAGGAGTGAGCAGCATCAGCATTTGCGGGAATTAGCGCTGCGAGCCTGGATGCGCCTCTTAAGCTGATATGGCTGTTCTCAAACTCGTCGATCAGGTAAGGTTTGTGATTCCGAATTAAATAAGGAAATCTCCTTTCAATACCGTAGTCTCTATCAGTGTTCGGCATCAGATCAAAAATCCTCGATGCAGTTTAATAAGTTGTCCATTTGGTAGGATGTGCTTGTTTTTCTTGCGCGCACTCGTCGCGGACCGCTATTTTTGGACTGTCACATATATTAATACAAGCTGCGAAGCCCGTGCTGTCCTTTGCCTTTGCTTGCTGTTTTTGCGATGAGTATAGTCGTGTTTCCTACTTAGTGATTTTTTTTCTTACGATATGGTGGTTAGGGTTTTGCATTGTTTTTTGCCTGGTTAACTTCGCACGTAATTTTTGCTATTAATATTAATATTTCGAAGTGTCATCTTACTTTTTAGGTGTTTTCAACTTTGTCCAGATTGTTGCTGTTTTTTGCTGTGGTGTCGTATTTTATCTACATCATTTGTTTAACCGGATAATCTGAATATGTCGAGGGATGGTTTATCCAGTGATTAAGACTGAATGTCAGTCTTTTCACTCACGATGCAAAAAGTGCTTCAGCTTCCACTTTGAAAAGTCGAAGTTGGGGATCGCGGTTGCTGGCGGATAAGGCAGTGGCACGTTTAACGTTGATCATTTATTACTTTAGTAAAAGCTTTTCTGTTTGTCACAGTTTATTCAGCTTATGATGAAAAGACAATAAGGTGGAGGAATGTTAGTGGAATGCGTGCAGAGGATGGGCCGTGACAGATCTAGTAAACCCAGTAACTTCCTCGTCTCATCAATTTCGACAAAACGCCCATCACAGACCGAACCCAGCCGACCGTCCGACCTGCAAACTTCTCCACACCGATTCTTGACTTTCACATCATGCTTAATTTCTGTATACCCATAGGCTCCAGACCTCCCACAACCCTGAATAGGAGTTTCAGAAAATGGATGTATGGATGGATGAATGGATGGAAGTATGGACGGACTTAATAGTTGTTGTTGTACCAGTTCAGTTTCTTATTAAAATTCTATCACTTTGATAGTCCTCCACGCAGGACCATTTTACAGAATATACATGGTGACATCACATTTGTCTGAAATAGGACAGTAGACCTGGTTAAGTATGGCTTAGTGAACGGTGTTAGTGTAGAATGCATACATTATGCACCTATGTGAGGATTTCTAAGCTGGGTTGGTTAAGATGTCCTCATCTCCCATCAGTGTTTGGTGAGAAGTATCCAAGCGGCCCCGATCATGTCTGTCAATCCTCTGCTGACGCTCCTTCCATCTCTGTCAGTCCCTGGTTGTTTCCGAGGCCTCGAGCCTCACCCTCTGCAGACCCGCCTCTAAGCAGCATTGGGCTTGTCTGTGAGCTTCCCTTCCTGCTGTACATGTCACTATGGGCTGGAGACTTTCTCCCCGAGTGAGACTGAGGAGACCTGCACACGCGTCACAGGAAGTGCAGCCTGGCTGTCAGGTCAGGGATCATGAGAAAAGGTTCCAAGCAGCATGACATTCCGTGCAGCTGCGTGACCAAGGGGCCGTGGTGATTCGCGCCTCGGGGTGACATTTTCCCGTAGTGAAAGGCGCGTGCAGCTTGTAGTTCTGTCTGTGCTGCATCCTCAGCAATGTGTTGCACCATTTCTTCTTTTCAGCCCAGGACAGGAAGTGTAGAAATTTCATGTGCTTGTAAAGCAGAGCATGCTCACTGTTACAGGGCCCATTTAGCCTCACTGCCCAAGAAGGAAATGCACAGGAAGTTCTTCACATCCCCCCCCCCCTCTCTTTTTCTCTCTCGGCCCTTGGGGAGCTTAGCTTGCACTGGATCTCCTTGTTTGAATGTTGTGCATGAGTGTCAGTGATGCACTCGCCCCACCTTGTTCTGTATTGTGTATGTGTGTGTGTTTCTTTTGCATGTTGTTAGAGTTGTTTTTCTGGAATGACAGATTAAATTGTGGTATTAAGAGATAATGCTCCTCAGTCTTGAGTAGAACGCCAGAGATGCCAGAGATGTTGACTTAAAAATAAATAAATAAATAAATAAAAATAGTTTGCACTTTGGTAACCGGGCAGAATATGGTGGGTTTCTGCTTTGTCCGTGCTTGTCTGTGTCTTTTGAAGAAGGGGGACAGCATTTATCTGATGGAAGCCTGAAGGCAAGTCACGGAGTGTAAAGGGAGAGAGATGATGGAGGCGGAAGGACGAGAGAGTGGAAGACGGCCCGTAAATGTAGCCACAATGGAAAGGACTGCATTTGCATTTTGAGGAAGCTGTTGGATTCATTCTGTGATAGGAGGTAGAACATAAAGGTGATCACTGCTTGGGTTCTGCTTCATTATTGGCCAAAAAGGGAAGCAGTAGCCCTGACATTGGCTGTAAGATGACACATGGGTGACATGGAGGCAGTGGGGGGGAGGGGGGTAGTGTACTGTGTGTAGCCACAATGGCCTTAGTGTCTGCCAGTTTGTTCATCAACTAATTGGCATAGTGTGCGGTTTGGGGAATGTCCCTCAATCATGACGCGCTCTGTCTTTGCCCCCTTTGCAGGCCTCAAACTCGGTGCCACTGTCTCGACGTCCCCATTGTCCCATTGCCAGACAGATGGCTGCGTTGTCGCTGGGGCTTCGGCGATTCACTTGAACCTCCAGAGAGTGTCATGCACAAGCTTGTGAGGCTTACTGTGGCGGTGCAATATGGGTGTTTTTTGCAGAACTCCATTAAGGGATTCTCATGCAGCTGTGGTCTCCCAGTCTGAAGTCAAGTACGGGTGCGAGGCTTTGTGCAAGTGAGGCTGGACACGTCTCGTATAAATTCCTCCTGCATGGAGCAGCAGGCTTGAGCCAGCCTCAAATCAGTGCTCCACATAGCAGCAGAGCTGCTTTCATTCCCGTGGAGCTGCAGTGGTGGATGTGCTCGGCATTCTGGGCCACTGCTGAACCAAAATGGCTGGCATGGATTATATTATTCCAAAACATGGAGCCGCTGTGCCAGAGACGAGAGGGATTGGCTCAAACGCAGGGGCATAAATAATGGGCGAGGCCTCGGGTCTGAACTTTATCGAATACGTTTGCAGTTATGTGTGTTTGTGCTGGTTTTTTTCGTCTTGGGGCGACGGGTGGCCGTACGGAAAGTCGCACGGCGTATTTGTCTTTGAGAATTGGACGGTTGTCTGACTCTTTAAATGGAAGTGAAAACGCTGTCTGAGCTTCCTCTTTCTTTGTGATCTTGGCAAAGGCAAAAGAGATGTAGGTAGACGTGCGAGGACGGGAGGGCAGCCACAGGAAGTGGCAGGTCGTCATTTCTGTAGCCAGAGTCATGTGGATCTGCCACATCTCACCCCTGCGAACCAGCTGACACACAGCAGCCAGTCCTTTCAGACCTCGGTCACATGGAAGAGGAGTCTGTTTCAACAGCTGGTAACGGATATTTAGATTCAAACTGTAAGGTGCTTTCTGGTTGGCCAGTGAGGAGTGCTTCGTAAAGCGCGGCGTTACAGTTCCTAATTTGGCATCCGACTGAATGACAGGCTAATTTGTGGTTTCACTGGGCTCTCCTCGGATGTTTGTTACATTGCGTTGGTTTGGTTGCCAGGTCCTGCCTCAGAAGAACCGAACAGCTCCCTCAAATATCCACAATTAATGGTTATAACTGAATATAGTATATGCTAGACAAACAATAAGCAGGTCACCTAGGAGACGTTGCAAAGTCTAATTTTATCTGAATTCTGTCATCATGTGACGATGTGATAATTATCAGCCCAGCAGGGTGTTGTTTCTGTGCTTTTGTTGCAGGGTCTGTTTTAAGCATGCTTCCTGTTTTTTCGAAATGGCTAACTGCAGCTATAGTGGGGGGTCTGTATGGGGCTGGATGGACAGTGAGATGGGGGGGTCTGTATTGGGCTGGATGGACAGTGGGATGGGGAGTTTGTATGGGGCTGGATGTACAGTGGGATGGGGGGGTCTGTATGGGGCTGGATGGACAGTGAGATGGGGGTTTGTATGGGGGTAGGAAGTACAGTGGGATGGGGGGTTTGTATTGGGCTGGATGGACAGTGGGATGGGGGGTTTGTATTGGGCTGGATGGACAGTGGGATGGGGGGTTTGTATTGGGCTGGATGGACAGTGGGATGGGGGGGGTGCAGGCTTGTCAGCTGGGCAGCTTATTGGCTGACTGCGAAGTGGCAGTGCTCCTGATGTCTGTGGTTATTTGGGGAGGGTGTGCAGGGGGGGTATATGTGAGCTCACTCTAACCACAGCCCTGTTTCCTCAGCCCCCGCTGATCCAGGCCATATTCACCGGCGACCCGGAGGAGATCCGGATGCTGATCTACAAGTCAGAAGACGTCAATGTTCTGGTAGGTTCCACCGGCATGTTGCTCACCAGCGGTGCCCCTTAGGCTGCCTGTCAGTCTGCACCTGCAGAAAAGCTGAAAGGCCCAGTGCTTCAAATGCCCAATAAAGGGCCCAGCGGAGAATCGGCATGACGGCATGACGGCTACCGGACGGCCATGTGGTCAGATCAGGACCCGTTCATCTCTGAGCATTTCCTCCGTGTAAATCACTGCTGCTGCTGCATTAACTCCAGGGTCAGACAAGTTATATGGTTGCAATGATCCTATTCATTTAAAACGTAGTTTTGAACACCTGTGATATCTGGTTGCATTTGCCAATTGGGCTTGTAATGTAAACAGTGACTGTTCAGAAGCACTCACTGGTCCGGTTTGGACATTTCATCTGCTTTGCATAAGTAGACAGCCGTATTCCAGGTGACCTGCAGTTTTATGCAAACACAGGTACAGTTTGCATGTAAATGGCTGAAGGGCGCTCCCACGGCGACACGAGAGGCCTGCAGCTTCACTGAGAATGTCGTTCATTTGGTGTCCCTTCCCTTAGCTCTCTGACTCTCGGTTCCTTTGGAAGGCACTTAGATCTGCTCCGGGGGCCTGAGTGGAGCTCCTCTGGTCCTCTGGGCACTGGGGATGCCATATAGTCAGTGGATGTGGCAGGAGGGATGAAAGGTGTTCCCGCAAATGCCGGCCTTGGCTGCATACAGCCGATCCATGCATTCACTCTCTCCCTCACCCCCTCTCTCTCTGCCCCCCCAGGATGCCGAGAAACGCACCCCCCTCCACGCGTCTGCTTTCCTGGGCGATGCTGAGATCACAGAGCTGCTCATCCTCTCGGGTATGACCCCTTCCCCTGCTTTGCTTTTCCCTCTGAGGCGGGTAAGTAAGGCACAGTGCCTGTTAGCGGGACAGCAAAGGAAGCAAACAGCTATAGTACCTTTGGTTGGGGTCAGACAGCTGATGTGTAATTAGTGATTAAAGAGTATGTTTCATTAGCTCTTACCGCAGTAAAGGACCCTGATGTCTGACCCCATTGCCAGTTGTCATGGCCTGTTGTATTCTGTTTTCCCTTTTTTCTGATGCCAAAATGGCTGCTTTATTTCTCCTTCCTGCTGCTTCTCAAAACCTATTTGCACTCCTGTTCCCAGTTATAGTCCCCGTTGCTTCCTCGCAGTGCCGTATCGGGTGGTCCTGGTCTCCATCCACCTTACACACGTTTCACTGTGTTATTTAGGATAACAGCTTCTACCCAAAAAGACCATCATCAGCCGAAATGTCTTTGAGTGAAAAGTGTCCCGTGTGGATATCAGTGTTGTGTAATTCTTAGCACTGTGAGGAGACTCTCCAGTGAAGTGAATGGTCTCTCTGCAGGGGCTCGTGTCAATGCCAAAGACAACATGTGGCTGACTCCACTGCACCGGGCAGTGGCATCTCGCAGTGAGGTGGGAACGGCACACGCGCCTCTCATGCACACTGCCGCACACAGCACTGGACATACCAGGGCGTAACCCTCAGTGATGAACACTGATCTGTTTCGACGCTCCCTGTTGGAATGTCATTCATGCAGGCAGAGACAGTACAGACATACCTGCCATCACAGGTGAAGTTAGTGGCAGACTGAGGCCCCCATACCAATATTCCCACTTTGTTGCATACAGATTCTTACATGACATGGACCTATAGATCCATGCCAGTGTCCTTCAGTTTGGCCTAATTGTCAGTGAGATGTCTGGTCTCACTGAGCTCCCATTTGGATGTGACTTCATGCTGAAGGGGTGTCCTGCTGTCTGCATCTGCTCAGTGGACATGTGACTGTGGTGCGTGTTCTCACACACGCGTCCCATGTACCAGGAGGCCGTGCGTGTGCTGATCCGCCACTCCGCGGACGTAAACGCACGTGACAAGAACTGGCAGACTCCGCTGCACGTGGCCGCTGCCAACAAGGCCCTGCGCTGTGCGGAGGTCATCATCCCGCTGCTGAGCAGCGTCAATGTGTCTGACCGCGGGGGGCGGACCGCCCTGCACCATGCTGCCCTCAACGGGCACACAGAGGTACTGCACCCAAGAATGGGTAATTAACAGGAACAATGGAATTCAAAAAATATATTGAGGCTTTTAGGTTTTTAGCCCATCAGAAATAACGGCCAGGAAATAAGGATGAAGACCTTTGTGTATTTATCTGGAGATAATTTGCTGCACGTAGACAGATTTTCTCTTAGTAATATTGATATCACTGAGATCCCTGTTTATGCCAAGCTCTTCTCTCTGTGCTCCAGATGGTGCAGCTCCTCATTTCCAAGGGTGCGAACCTCAACGCGTTTGACAAGAAGGACGCCAGGGCCCTGCACTGGGCTGCCTTCATGGGTACAGGGGACACTTCCCGTCGGCACGCCTCCTCATTTTAGCAAACCCTGGGTTCTGCACTGGGTTCCACACCTTGCCCCCTCCATGTTAGGGTTCTTCTCCTCCCACAATCCAGAAACGTGTTGAATTGGCGTTTCCAGGTTGTGGGTGCAGGACACAAGATACAAGATATCTATAAGACAAAAAGGGTTTTTAATTTAATTTTTTAATTTTTCACATCTGACTCATACATGAGTGGAAAATTAAAATGCAAATGGTGCTGTTGCATTTTAGTTTTAATTTTTGCAGGTTTTTTGCGCACAGACTTTGGAAACTAAATGGCAAAGTGGAAATTGTATTTTCTTTCTATCATTTTCATTTTATTTTTTGCAGAAAATACCTCCCATATGAATGCCCCTTAGACTGTGCAAATCAAATTAAAAACAGATATATAATATAATAATGTGTTAGGGTGGATACACCCTGTGATGGACTGGTGTCCCATCCATGATGGACTGGTGTCCCATCCATGATGTTCCTCTGGCCTGTACCCTCTGTTTCCTGGAATAGGCTTTGGGCTCAGCAGAACCCCATACTGAGTGGATGGATGGATGGATGGATGATGGATGGAGGCATAAACAGTTTTCATGTTTAAACACTTTTTTCCGACTGTACACTGGAAGCTCTCTTTGCTGGTGAGAAACTGATTGGAAGCACAATAAGAGTGGTATTCAGCCTTATTCTGTCTCCCCCTATAGGTCACCTGGATGTGGTGCGTCTCCTGGTGAGCCAGGGCGCAGAGATCAGCTGCAAGGATAAGCGCGGGTACACGCCCCTCCACGCTGCCGCCTCCAACGGTCAGATCACCGTGGTCAAGCACCTGCTCAACCTGGCAGTAGAGGTACCGACCCGTGGCAGGAGCGCCAGCTGTTTGGCGTGGGGATCCCGTACCGTGTGCAGTGCTGAGTCGGGGACAGAGAGCCGGCATGTGATGCAGTTATTGATGGGCGTGTGCATGTCCAGATCGACGAAGCCAACGCCTTCGGGAACACGGCCCTGCACTTGGCCTGCTTCAACGGGCAGGACGCGGTGGTGAGCGAGCTCATTGATTACGGCGCCAGCGTCAGCCAGCCCAACAACAAGGGCTTCACGCCACTGCACTTCGCGGCCGCATCCACCCACGGCGCGCTCTGCCTCGAGTACCTTGTCAACAACGGCGCCGACGTCAACGTGCAGGTGGGCCGCCAGGAGGCTCCGCCTCCGCCTGTCTCCCAGCTCGCTGCTGATGCGTGTTTGTCCCTTTCCTGACTGTATCGACATGCCTCTGTGTTTCTCACTACTTACTCTTTTTTTTCCCCACTTCCTGTTTGTCTCTGGTTCCTCCTGTCGGCCTTCCTCATCAGTCTTTCTGTTTGTATTATGTGTAAGTTCATTTTCTCTTCTCTTTCTCTTTAACTTTGTTTCGGCGTCGTCAAGATTTTTTCCCGTTGCCGTTTTCGATTCGTCCCTCACGATGCTCTATGTCTGTCTGTCCCTCCCGCTGACTCTGGGTGGGCTCAGGTGCTCACGGAGGTCTGTAACGCTTCCTCCCCCAGAGTCGAGACGGCAAAAGCCCCCTCCACATGACGGCGGTGCACGGCCGCTTCACCCGCTCCCAGACCCTCATCCAGAATGGTGAGCGCTCACCCGTGCCTCCTTCCTGCAGGATGGCCAGACCTGACTGTGTGGTGACATGTCTGTGTGTGGGCTTGGGGGGGGCGGGCGCAGGTGGGGAGATAGACTGCACGGATAAGGATGGGAACACCCCCCTCCACATCGCCGCTCGCTACGGCCACGAGCTGCTCATCAACACCCTCATGACGAACGGGGCAGACTGTACCAGGTCCGTCAGACCACCCCCCCCCCGCACATCGGCATGCCGCCCTTGCTGGCAACATGTGTCACTGACTCAGCCATCTTTATTCATCATGCTCTTTCATTTCCCTTTTCTTTCCTTATCCATCCTGCTCTTTTCACCCTCTCCCTGACTGTCTCCACCCTTCCCATCTATTCTTTCTGTGTCCTACATTTCTACCCTTCTACCATGCAGACGAGGGGTGCATGGGATGCTGCCCCTACACCTGGCAGCCCTGAGCGCCCATGTAGACTGCTGCCGCAAGCTGCTGTCATCAGGTACTGTGAGGGGGCTGGAGGTACTGGGGTCGTGGCTACCATATGGGGCGTGGCTACAATATGGGGTGTGGCTACCCTAGGGGGTGGGGATACCTTAGGGGGCGTGACTACCATAGGGGGCGTGACTACCATAGGGGGTGTGGCTACCCTAGGGGGTGTGACTACCATAGGGGGCGTGGCTACCATAGGGGGCGGGGATACCTTAGGGGGCGGAGACTGTGGCAGAGGGGGCGAAATACTTATAGTTATGGAGACTTTGGCCTAGGCAGAGAATAGTGGAACAGAGACGTCAATGAACATGGAAAGCCTGATAGGGTGGGGCCTGCTGAGCTGTGGTTGGACACAATGGCATGGTGATGAGTGATGGGATACAAACATAGGAGTGTGAAATTCTTACTGTTGTCATGTAATTACTGTTTCCTCCACATCATTGTTTAGTGGTGTTTGCTGAACACGCCTGGTGGAGGGGTGGCTGTTCCGTCTCCCTGCAGTCCATTTAGGAGTTCCTGTTCCTTAGAATAGTTCCTGTTCCTTAGAAAGCATGATGCAACAGGCATGCGAAACGCTGCTCAGGCTCTTTTACTGCCATGTGAATGAAGAGCGGTGTGCTGTTAAAGCACTCGATGCGTCGCCCCATTGGTCGGCAGCGTGAGAGCAAGCAAGAGACGGACGGCGGTCTAAGCAGGCCGGTGCCCTGATGCTAACGCCGCACCGCGAAAGATAAGATGGCAGGGAGTTGCCAGCCTTTTATAAAGCTCTCTAAAAACGAGCAGCCTCTGAAGATGTGCTTCCTTTGTAAATGCTACCGATTAACAGACAGACACATGTATTCACCGCGCTTATGCCGTCTCGCTGACAAATTGGAGTCCTGGTTCTGTCCTTGACATGAAAATCAATTGAGGGATGTTCTGGGCTAGTGAGGCTCTCAGGCTCTTGATTTCTCCCCTATTCATTCAAAATTTGATCATTTTTAAAGCTTTAAGTTGGATGTACTACAGGACCGCAGGGTTAGGGGGTCAGACCCTGCCCCCACTCTGTTTGCGTTTCTTCCTGAAGTTGCCACTGGATACCCCAGTTCCCACCCGCACTGCAAAGGCGTGTCATTGGCTGAAAGCAGTTGGGTGGTGGGCTGGCACCCGGCGCAGGGCACTGCACCGCCGGGGAGGGGCTCGAGCTCTGACCCCACCTCATGATGACTGCAGAAATGGTTGAATGATGGGTGGATGAAGAATATGTCGTGTCGACCAAATCAAATGCCAGAACGGTGCCCTTAGTCACCTAAATGTGTTACGCTGAGGCATGACAGACTGACCGCAAGCTGCATGCTGCAGACTTGACTGGCTTGAATGGCAAAAACAATTAGCGTCCAGCATTTAGAGATTTATCCTGGAAACTCAGTAGCGCATTTCTACTTCCCGTCACTGTGCTGCAGGTGGCCGCTGCTTCTCCCCCCCGCTCTTCTCATTTACCTTCATTTGCTTTATGTCCATTTTCATGGTCTCTGCTTAATCCTCAGTGCATTTATTGTTTTTGGTCTCTGTCATTCAGTCTGAAGTATGTGCTAAGCTCTTATTATGGAAATGCATTAGGCTGCTTGAGTGTCCCTCTCCCACGCACTCATAGCATACCCTCAGCTACTCGGCTTGGTAGTGGGCTATCAGATTTCCTATCTGGCAGTTTTATTATTTAGCCTCTCGTGAATGCTAAGTGCGTAAGGTGAAGGGAAAACAAATGCATGAGGCTTGTTGGAAAGGTAAGAAAAGGGGGTCTGCGTTCTGCACATCAACCAGTCTCAACCTGTACGCTGTGGGTGCAAATTACAGGCCTCATATTCCATTAAAATTTCAGAAATGGAGAATCATGCAGAGCACAGTTGCCATCTCTCAGCATTTCCTGTTGTGTGTTCACTGACGGAGACGTCAGGTTCTGGATAATGACGTTACCATTGACAACCATACACTTTGTTACCATGACGACCCGCAGAAAGCCATTATCTCCAAACATAGTGTGCTGGGTACCTTAAAGTTCTCCCCAAATTCAATCTGTGGTTTATGTGACTTGCTTTCCTAGCTGTGCTGAAGTATCCTTTCATTATGTGTGCAAAGAATGACATCATTATTCAAAGCTATAAGTTTTTATAGCCTATAGTTTTAGTTTTGCGATTTGTCGTCTGGGCCCTTGGACTAATTCAGTCATAACTGATAAACTGTATTTTTTCTGTTAAGTGTGTTTGTGTGGAGTGTCACAGTATTGAATCATACTGCTGAGCAGGTGATGCAGGTGTGTCTCAGGTGTGACACTATTCTACTTTGAATTTTACTTTGTTAGTCATTCCTTGTTCACTGTTTTATGTTCTTGTTTGTCAGGCCATCTTTTTGCCTTTTCTTTTTTGGTGGAAGGACTGGTGAACAACTTCCGCATGATATTTTTTGCTTTCTTGTGCAATGTCGGGAAAGAGGAGTGGCTTTGGTTCTAATCGGTTATAATGGTGAAAAATATAATAAATCAGTCCTTCTGTTTGTCTGACCTCATACCTTTTGTTTTGTTTGTGATTCATTACATTTTTTTTTACATTTTGTGTTTCACATATTGTTGCATGGTAAATACATTGGAGGATGTGTTGGGGAAGAGGCAGGGTCAGGCTTGCTGAGTGGCATCAGATGTGCGGCGTTCACTGAATCTTGTGTTTTACTCGCCCATCGGGGTGACGGTACGCAGGGTTCGTGGAGCTTACGGTCATGATACACAGGGCAACTTTCTGAGCAATGTTGCTGACAAGTTGCTCGGCCTCTTTCCCATTGACATTGGGCTACAAGTTTCTGTCGGAAACTTTCTTCGATTACCAGTTAACAACGTTTGCGTCATCCAGATCCTGATGAGTTGCCCTTTGTGTCGCCAAGTTGGCAGTTGCCCAAAAGCATTGCTCAGAAAGTTGCCCTTTGTCTCATCACCGTAAGCTCCATGAACCTTGATTAGCAGCGACTGTGATGACCTGGTTTTGGGGGAGGTCACATTTTTTTTCTGTTGAATGCGTAGCCCCCCACCCCCTACACTCTCTGTGAAGGTCCCATGATGTACTGTCATGTGTATCGTGGGGGTTTGGAGGGCTGACATACATTCCAAGTCTGCCCCTCTTAATTTGGCTAACAGACTAGTTACCTCTCAATGGGGTGACTTCCTGCAGCTGCCTGTTTCTGCCACTCAGCGTTTGTCATCGGGTGTGTGGGGCAGGCTGCAGGGGTGCGATATCATGTCGAAACGCACGGCTGCTGCTTTAGGTTTCATGTGAGCGGGAGCGTTCAGAGTGAGTCCATGCCTTTGTGTGTCTCTGAGAGCCTTTGTCATGCCTCCGTCTGCTGTCCCCACCCAGTAACTGCTCCTGGCAGCGTGGCGTCACAGGCTGTGTCCTCCAGCATCTGTGCTCACTCAGTAACCAGCTGCTCCTGTCCACAGGCTTCCAGATAGACACCCCCGATCGCTTCGGGAGGACCTGCCTGCATGCTGCTGCTGCGGGGGGGTGAGTCCTATCTCTCTTTCGATATTTCTCTCCCTCCTCGGTACTCCCTCATGTGGAGATACTAAGACACTAATAAACTCCTTCACTGTGCATGATCTTTGGCGCTGCTCCTTTACGGAATGCCGTTCTGATCCGATCCCCCCCCCCCAATCCCCCCATTGCCTCCTGCAGCAACATGGAATGCGTTGAGCTGCTCCTCAGCAGTGGAGCCGACCACAACCGGAGGGACAAGTGTGGCAGGTGGGCTGGCAGAGGAGAAGGGGAGCAGAGGTTACAATGAGGGGGCAGGAAATGGGTAGCTGGCAGTGAGGGGCCAATGGGACGGGAAGAATCTGAAGTGGGTGTGGTCAGGATAGTGGTTAAATCAAAATGGAGAGCAAACGGGGCTCGAGGCGGGAATGCCTCCTTCGTGATCTGAGTGGGTGTTCAGTCCTGCATCAGTATTATTACCGTATGTTTCAGTACTATAAGAGTGTGGCTATGATTCACTTCTGTCTCTTCTCCCCTGCAGAACCCCACTCCACTATGCTGCTGCCAGTCGACACTATCAGTGTCTGGAGATGCTGTTGGCACGTGGGATTTGCATTAATGCAGATGACCAGTGGGGGCGCACTGCCCTTCACTATGCTGCTGCCTCAGACCTGGACAGAAGGTAAGGCTTTGCTTGGGTCTGTAGTACTGTATATCATCCTTACCAGTTGGTCGAGTGAGTAGCTCCAGAAAAGTGGTCTGGTGAGTGTGTGCATGTTCTCCAGGTGAGTGCATGTGTGTTTGCGTGTTCTCCAGCTGAGTGCATGTGTGTGCGCGTGTTCTCCAGCTGAGTGCATGTGTGTGCGTGTGTTCTCCAGGTAAGTGCATGTGTATGTTCTCCAGGTGAGTGCATGTGTGTGCGCATGTTCTCCAGTTGAGTGCATGTGTGTTTGCGTGTTCTCTAGGTGAGTGCATGTGTGTGCATGTCCTCAAGGTGAGAGCATGTGTGTGTGCGTGTGTTCTCCAGGTAAGTGCATGTGTGTGCACGTGTTCTCCAGGTAAGTGCATGTGTGTGCACGTGTTCTCCAGTTGAGTGCATGTGTGTGCGTGTTCTCAAGGTGAGAGCATGTGTGTGTGCGTGTTCTCCAGGTGAGCGCATGTGTGCGCGTTCTTGGAGTAAGTGCATGCGTGTGTGTTCTCAGAGTGAGTGTGTGCATGTCTGTTCTCCTGTGAATCCGTGCGTGTTCTCTTGTGAATCTGTGCATGTTATCATGGTTAGTGTGCATGCCTGTTCTCCCATGAATCTGTACATGTTCTCAGGATGAGTGTGCGTGCCTGTTCTCCTGTGAATCCATGCATGTATTTGACTGGCAATGTCATCTAATGAAGTGAGGGCCAATATTTCCCATGATGCTTTGCAGACAGTGTGAGAAACAGCTAGAATTGGGTCAAGTAGCCTGTCTATGGCACGTGTGAAAGCTGTAGCTTTTGCAGCCTTGCTGACTGTGTCTGAGCAAGAACTGGATCAGTGTCTGAGCATATTGTGGATTTATTGTATTCATTTTACTGGTTCTAGATGCTTGCCGGGTTTCCTTCATAGGATTTTCGAGCGATCAGGCTTTACCTTTCTTTGCTATTGTGTGATGGGAGCAGCTTTTCTAGCAAACCTAAATGCAGATAAATGATGGAAAGTCAGTATTTCAGCAGTACAGAATATTAAGTCATTAAAGTATTACGTGTAACATTTGTAATCCTGTGTTTTTGATGAGAAGTAAAGTGATTCAGTTGCAGATCACATCTTTCGGTTTGAATAAATGTGGTTGTTTTGTACAAGCTGTTGTAAAATTCCCTGGTTGAATCCTTATTTTAGTAAGTGAAATGAAAAAATCTTTCTACTGAAGATCCTTTACTCCCCAGCTACATTATGTCGTACATGTGCTTATTGTATTAGTTTTTATACTTATGCTTAGTATTTTTATGTTTTCAAATGTGTAATTTGTTTTAATAGTATCACATGTGATATTAAGGCATTAAAGTATAATGTTTAAAGACATCTGAGGAGAAATAAGTGAGATGTGTTCGAGGCTCATGTTGTAGCACTTCTGAGATGGACATGGCTGGTGTTTCAGTGCACAGTGCGAGTGTGGATGTGTCTCTGTGCGTGGATGTGGCTGTGCCTCTGTGCGTGGATGTGGCTGTGCCTCTGCGTGGATGTGGATGTGGCTGTGCCTCTGTGCATGGATCTGGCTGTGCCTCTGCGTGGATGTGGATGTGCCTCTGCGTGGATGTGGATGTGCCTCTGTGCGTGGATGTGGCTGTGCCTCTGCGTGGATGTGGACGTAGCTGTGCCCCTGTGCGTGGATGTGGTTGTGCCTCTGTGCGTGGATGCATGGATATGGCTGTGTCTATGAAAGTATGGGTGTGTCTCTTGATCTGTGTGTGGATCTGGCTGTGCCTCTGCGTGGATGTGGATGTGCCTCTGTGCGTGGATGTGGCTGTGCCTCTGTGCGTGGATGTGGACGTAGCTGTGCCCCTGTGCGTGGATGTGGTTGTGCCTCTGTGCGTGGATGCATGGATATGGCTGTGTCTATGAAAGTATGGGTGTGTCTCTTGATCTGTGTGTGGATGTGGCTGTGTCTCTGTGCGTGGATGTGGCTGTGTCTCTGTGCGTGGATGTGGCTGTGCCTCTGTGGGTGGATGCATGGATATGACTGTCAGTGAAAGTTTGGGTGTGTCTCTTGATCTGTGTGTGAATGTGGGTGTGTCTCTATGTATGGATGCATGGATATGGCTCTGTCTATGTAAGTATGGGTGTGTCTCTTGATGTGGGTGTGTCTCTGTGCGTGGATGTGATTGTGTCTCTGTGCGTGGATGTGGCTGTGCCTCTCTGTGGATGCATGGATATGGTTGTGTCTATGAAAGTATGGGTGTGTCTCTTGATGTGGGTGTGTCTCTGGGTGTGGACACCCCTCTGAACATCTGGTTTGGTGTTTTTCCAAGGCGGCGTGAGGCCCTGGAGCCAGAGAGCGAAGGGGTGCAAGCGGAGAGGGAGAAGGAGGCAGCAATGTGAGTCGTCCGTGGGCGGAGCTACCTGGCTATCACCCCAAATGATCATCTTTGTAACCCAGAACACCCTCTGCCAGTCCGTGACGTCGTGTCTGTCCCCTATCACAGTCTGATCTCCCTTCACATACTTTCTGTGTGTGTGTGTGTGTGTGTGTGTGTGTGTGTGTGTCTGTGTCTGTGTCTGTGTCTGTGTGTGTGTGTGTGTGTGTGTGTGTGTGTGTGTGTGCTGACACCCCGCATCGGCATCCATTTTGGGTAGATAGAGTGGAACAGTGGAGGTCCTTCCCCTGTTGAAATAGACCAGACATGGGACGCTTTGCAGCAGAAGTCCACTCACAGCGTCCTGCATGTCAGGACGGCCTCATTGTCCCAGTTGTGTAGCTCCTTACCTTCCCTGACAGATCAGCCCTGGACTGCTATCAGCTCCCCAATATATGAAACACAGAGCTTTGCCGTTCAGTGTCAGGCCCCGTCTCATGTCACAGGGCTGCATGTTTCTGCACGCGTGCGTGCATGAGCCCCCCCTTTATCTGATTGTGGCTGTGTGAACAGGTGTCTGGAGTTCCTGCTACAGAAGGGGGCAGGTCCCAGCCTGAGGGACAAGCAGGGCTACAGTGCCGTGCACTACGCTGCTGCCTACGGCCACCGGCAGTGCTTACAGCTGGTGAGGACAGTGCACATGCATACACACACACACACACACACACACACACACACACACACACACACAGAATCATACAGAGATTCACACACAGACAAACTGAAGCACACAGAGAATCACACACAGACAAACTGAATCACACAGAGAATCACACACAGACAAACTCAAGCATACAGAGAATCACACACAGACAAACAGAATCACACAGAGAATCTCACAAAGACAAACTGAATCATACAGAGAATCTCACAAAGACAAACTGAATCACACAGAGAATCACACACAGACAAACTGAATCACACAGAGAATCACACAGAGATTGGATATTAAGCCAGTGAAAAAATTTTGTTACCAATAGAAGTGGTGTGACAGTGCCAAATATGGAACTAGTAAATATGAATTTGCATGGTAGATCTTGTCAACGTCATAACAAGTTTGAAAAGAATTTAATTAGATTTAAAACAGTTTGGCAGCATTCAGCTCATAGCATATGGTACAGTCCATAATAATCTTGTCAAGACCTGTGGTGTTTTGCTATGCCTGGTGGTAAGATTTGAAATTTATGTCCAACTGACCCAACACCAGTGTCAGAAAAGGCAGGTCTAGTGTCAGCAAAATGGATGGAACTGAGAAGCTTCATGGAGAAATGAATGAATTAGTGAAGGCTGTCGTTCCATACCCATAAAAGAAACCACAGACACTGATCATTAGAGTTATTAGAGGCACAATGTCACAGCAGGCCTGTGTTCATAGTGGGGTACCACAGGGTTCAATTTTAGGACCACTATTGTTCCTAATTTACATTAATGATATTGACACCAATACAGTAAACTGGTTAAATTTGCAGATGACACCAAGGTGGGTGGTATAGCAGGTACTGATCTAGCAGCACAGAGGCTACAATGGGATCTTGATTTAATTAGTGACTGGGCTGATACCTGGCAGATGAAATTTAACATAGATAAATGTAAGGTAATCCATGCAGGGAGCAAAAATATAAAGTACAGATATTTTATGAGTTCCACTGAAATAAAGGTAGCTGATTACGAGAAAGATCTCAGTGTGTATGTTGATGCTTCCATGTCCCACTCTCGCCAGTGTGGGGAAGCAATAAAATAGACCAGTAGGATGTTGGGTTACATCTCTGTGTGGAGTTTAAGTTATTTTATTCCGTGGTAAGACCCCACCTAGAATATTGTGTGCAGATTTGGTCACCATACCTTAAGAAGGACATTGCTGCCTTAGAAAAGGTGCAACGGAGGGCTACGAGAATGATTCCTGGTCTTAGAGGAATGTCTTATGAGGAGAGGTTAGCGGAACTGAATCTGTTCAGCCTCATGCAAAGGAGACTAAGGGGGGACATGATCCAGGTATATAAGATTCTAACAGGTCTGGATGCTGTTCAGCCAAATGGCTATTTCAATATTAGTTTAAATAATAGAACTCGTGGCCATAAGTGGAAATTAGCGGGAGAACATTTTAAAACGAATTTGAGGAAGCACTTCTTTACACAGCATGTAGTTAGAGTATGGAATGCTAGTGTAGCGCAAGCTAAAACCCTGGGTTTCTTTAAATCAGAGCTGATTTTAACAAATCTGAGCTATTAGTTAAGTTCTCCCCAAACAAGCTTGATGGGCCGAATGGCCTCCTCTCGTTTGTAAATTTCTTATGTTCTTATGCTCTTATTATTTGGTCTAATTGACAGGTCAAATGAACAATAGCAACTGAACAGTGCACAGTGTTCTGTTGAGGTATTCATGTATGGCAATGCTCACTTAATATTTGAAAAAAATAAAGGAATTTGAGTATGCAAATTCGGAGCTGTGCTTGCTGCCAGAAAACCAGTGGAAATATCAGAGCTTGAAATCAGCTTGGTTTTCATCTGACATGCTTGTCTGTCGGATGTTCTGTGCTGCCAGATAATATCTGAATGTGGTTCAGAGAATCAGATCTGCATGGCAGGGTGGACTCATAAGGCAGCCAACGTGTTTCAGCCAGAGAATGACTTTGAAGTGTATGACGTAAAGCACCACCATACGTCTGACAGATTACTGAGGTTGCACACGTATTTCCGGCTGTGTTTGAGTTATGTGTGTTTGATAATGTTTGTTCTGTTTACCGAATGGCCCTAATTCACGTCAGGCAAAGGGAGAGCTCCGCTAGACTCTCCACGCAACAAGAAGCACTTGACAGTTGGCTCCTGGTTTCTTCATATTGCAATTTGCACATCTCATCACCTTGTGGAATATGAAGTCTGAGCATTGGAGGAACAAGCCAAAGGTGCAGTGTAGTAACTCAAACCAAGTTCCTGGTTCTGTTCCAGCTGCTGGACCGGGACCAGGGCCAGCTGGATGACCCAGCAGACTCCCCCAGCACCAGGAGTCCGCTCCACCTTGCGGTGAGGAATGGGGGTGGGGATGGAGGGGGGGGGGTTTGCAGTCAGGTGTCAGTTTCACAGCAATAACAGACTGAGAATCATGGGAAGTGTCTGAATCCTTCACACTACATGCTGCACAGGTACATTAGGACTTGCTATATCCATTCTGTTGTGTAAAGCGAAATTTGTCTTTAGAATAGTGAAGTCATTCTAAAAGTGAAACTTCCCCTTAATATTCTACAGTTATTAGTATTTTAATTTTCTTTTTTTTTTTTTTGGTCACTTGGGAAACCAATACTTAGTTGCCGTTGAATCGGTTGAGTGAAACATTTGATGCATGTCTGGCAACAGCTGGCTGGGTAAATTTATGTTGTAGACAATTAGGATTTAATGAGCTCTAATAGCTTGCGGTGGTGTAGTGTCATTTTGGTTTTGGCACTATAGCCTGAGCTTCTGGCCTGATGTGTGTCCTCCCCCCCCCCCAGGCATACCATGGCCACGCACAGGCACTAGAGGCGCTGCTGCGGGGGGAGAAGGAGGTGGACCAGACGGATGAGCTGGGCCGCACCCCACTGGCCCTGGCGGCCCTCAGGGGCCACACTAGTTGCGTCCGCACACTGCTGAGCCATGGCGCCTCACCCAGGACCCAGGACGCCGCGCAGGGCCGCTCACCGCTGCACCTGGCAGGTGAATTGCCCGCTGTGTGGCTGTGGGGGCACATACAAGCCCTGGCTTTGCGGTCAGAGTGCAATATTTTATCTAAACTCCTGGAAAAGGAAGAGAATTTTTGCAACATAAAAGGCTTTTATAAATCCTTCCTTAAGGGTTGGGTGTCATGTGTTAAAATGAATTAAAGGGGACTCCTTGGACACAGTGTGTGTGGCTCAGAGGGCTAAACCTCTGTATGTGTGACTGGAAGGTTGCCGGTTCAAGAGCTGTGCTCATCGCAGTAGCCACACTGCATTGAGCCCTGGACAAATAGGCAACCCTGTGCTCTGACCCCAGGCTCCACTCTCTGCTGCATGTGTGTGTGTCTCAAAGGAGAGCCAGTGGGTTATGTGGAAAGAAGCATTCCTGTGCAAATGGCAAATAAAGCCCATTCCATCTCAGCTGTGTGTGTGCACACGCTTGTCTGTATGTGCCTGTGAAATGCATTTACTGATTGATTCTCTGGCGCTTTGTCCTCTACAGTAATGAATGGACACACATCTTGTTTGCGCCTCCTGCTGGATGATTCTGGCAGTGCGGATCTGGTGGATGCAGTGGATTCTCAGGGACGGTGAGTATCTGCATTTGGTCAGGTCACTGTATCTGTTTCCCCCCCCCCCCTCCTTTCCCAATGACGACTCCTCTCGATGTGATGTCGGCCCTCAGAACCCCCCTGATGCTGGCTGTGGCGGGGGGCCACGTGGATGCCGTGTCTGTACTGCTTGAGCATGAGGCCGCAGTGGACTCGGCTGACAGCTACGGACTGACAGCCCTGCACCTGGGGGTGAGTGAGGGGGGCTCCTGGACACAGATGAAAATGACAGCTCATAGATTTCTCACAGCCACCACGTGATTGGTCCCTGCGAGCCCTGTGCATTTACTGCTGACAGCCAGGTCATCCTTGCTGTCATTGGGCTTCTGTGAGGTTTTCAGGTGGCTGATCACAATCGGCAGGTAGCTGCGTTGTCTGGAACCTATTGAGAGACTAGAATCCTGGAAGCTGCTAGTAGCCTTGCCTGGGGTAGTTAATCTGTATGAAAAGGTTACTGTACATCTAGGGCGGTAGAACTTTCCAGAAACTTTCCATTCCATGGGAAGTTAAGATAGGGAATTTTGGAAGTATTCCATGGGAATTAACAGGAATATATGGGAATTAATGGGAATATTCTCAGAATTTTGCAAACCTTGTTACACCAAAAGGCAAAAGCAGTAGTTCTCCTCAGGCAGTATTAGTGCAGTGCTGGATGCAGGCTTGCTGATTTTATCTTCATTTTATTCACTGTATCTCTGACTGGGGTGCTTAGTGATCCCTGCAGTGCACAGTGCTAACCAGTTAACTCCCTGTGTTGGAGTCATATGGGGTCTGTCCAGCCCTCACCTTGCATCCCTCTCACCCCAGCTGCTGTGTGGCCAGGAGGAGTGTGTTCAGAGCCTGCTGGAGCAGGAAGCCTCCGTGCTGCAGCCTGACCACCGGGGCCGCACCTCGCTGCACCTGGCGGCCAGCAGGGGGCACGCATCCTGGCTGAGCGAGCTGATGAACATAGCCTGCACCGAGTCCCCCTCCCCTCCGCTCCTGGACCTGCAGGGCTACACGCCGTTACACTGGGCCTGTTATAACGGTCTGGCTCACGTTCACTCCTTTGTAAATCTTGACAGCCGGCTTATTTGTTACAGGCATGGATTTGTAACCCGTAGGTTGCTATTTCAAGTCCCAGAAAGGAATTTGATTTAGTCCCTGTGCAAAGGAATTGCTCCAGTAAAATATCCTTGGTAGCTTTTTTTAGCAGGTTTGGGTAAAACATCAAAGAAGAAAATAACTGGTGTCTATCAAGCCTTTATTTCCCCCCAAATGTCAGCTTATTTTTGTATATTTGTACACATCACCCTGTAGTGCCTGTAACTCTCCCGCTGGTGATTGTGGGACGTTAGTCCCACCCCTGTGGTGTATACCGATTGAATGGCTGCACATCTGTCTGTTTGCATATGCCTGACAGCATGTGCCTGTGTATGTGTGTCTGCAGGCCACGAGGGCTGCATTGAGGTCCTCCTTGAGCATAAGGCCTGCCAGGCCTTCAAAGGGAATCTCTTCTCCCCCCTACACTGTGCCGTGTGAGTACTCAGCCCCCCCGCCCCACCTCCCATCTGTCTTCCTCCCTATATCTGGCTGTGCCGTTTATGGAACGCGGATCACTCTCCTGGTATTTATGCTTTGAGTCCAGCTGAGAAATTAATACTTTAATTTAGATGAGTCATTGAATGGGAACTTTTGTTTAATATGTTCTGGTTTTGTTTCCATTTCTTACATGCTAACCGCTGATAAAATGTAGATTTGCAGCAGTTTTTGCAGCCATATGCTCTGCATTAATCAAAGGCTGAGCTACAGAGGAGTTTCACCTTTGCCCTTTTATGTTGACTGTCGCTGTCCCTCTGGCCTTCAGGGTTAAAGGTCAAGGGTCATGTGCCTCTCTGCTGCTGGAGGCCCTGGGAGCTGATGTTGTTGGCTGCTGTGATGCCAGGGGCAGGTAAAGAGCATCGACTCCGGAGAGCCGGCCCGGGCTTCCAATAAGACATTCTCTGTACTTCACACCTCCTTTTGATTAAGTGAAACACGCTGTGGAATCTGACCATATTCTCTCTGCACTCCAGCTAAACATCCAAACCTGCTTCCCTAAGGATGTGTCCCTGAGCACCCGAACCCCGAGAATGTTATTGTGTTTACCTCACACCCTTCCCACTCATGCAAGCTCCAGTGCTGACCTGAATCTTGCAAGCCGTAGTAGTTCTCATCACGCCTTTCTCATGGTTTCCGTCTGTCCTGATTAGGGTTCTTAAGTAGCTCCAATGCTCTCTTGGTTCTCCTCTGTTCCAAGGGCATGTGATCCTCCTGTTTTCCACACTTTCTCTTCTTAAATCTGCACCATTTCACGTTAAATATACCTGCAGTATCAGGCTGGATGTCATGAGTTCCCATACAGATGTCAGTAGGATGGCGTGACAATGGCAGTTGCTGAAGTTTGGTACTGGGGTGACGTTCGCTGTTCGCTGTTCCCTCAGGACCCCGCTGCACGCGGCCGCCTTCTCTGGCCACGCCGACTGCCTGGAGCTGCTGCTCAGCCAGGGGGCGCTGGTGAACACGCAGGATGAGGCAGGGTGCAGCGTGCTCATGATGTCAGCGGCACATGGCAGGGCTGAGTCCCTGGGTAGGTGCCGCCCACTCTGTCACCTAACCTTGCTGGGGGGTAGCTCTCGTTATTTATTTTCTCGGGTTCGTCTCTGGTCCCCGCAGAGGTGCTCTTGCAGCAGCCTGACGTCAACCTGAGCCTGACAGACCGCGATGGGAATACCGCCCTGCATCTGGCCTGCAGTAACGTGAGTCCCGCCCCCACACAACAGGCCCACTTAGACTCACAGCGCCAGCTGGTGCTGCACGGACACAGCGCTGCTGCAGCCGGGGTGTGAAGGCACATTGTGATTGGCGTAGTGAAGGACACTTCGCCTCTCTGTCAGTGCAGATGGTTACTCTCCATAAGTGTGTCCTCCGTATCGATCATCCCTCCTTTCAGGGAAAAGAAGACTGTGCTCTGCTCATCCTGGAGAAGATATCAGACCCCACCCTGATCAACAGCACCAACGCGGCACTGCAGACGTGAGTGTCCGTAACGCCTGGTGCTGGGCCTTTGCGGCTTAGGGACCCCAATAAAAATTAGTTCTGCTGGTGTTTCCCCTCCATATTTGTCATGCATATAAAATCAGCAGATGCTCTGCTGGAGGTCTGCAGTCACTGAAGGCTTTTTTCTCTGTGGGTAACGCTGCAGCCCGCTGCACCTGGCTACCCGCAGCGGCCTAAAGAAGACCGTGCAGGAACTGCTGTCCCACGGTGCCAGCGCCCAGCTTCTGGACTCCAAGGGTACGTCCCATGGACTGCGTGCCCACGTCCCGCCACACAGAGCCTGTGTGCTCATTCTGCATCTGTCTCCGGTTCCCACTTTCAGCATCTTTCATGCTTTACCAGCCCCTGCATCTCCCATGCAGATTTGTCACATGTAACCGTCACATGTCCAGTGTGTGTCACATGTAACCGTCACATGTCCCGCATTTGTCACATGTAACTGTCACATGGCCTGTAACTGTCACATGTCCTTCATGTGTCACATGTAACTAACATTCCACGTGTCATGTCCTGCGTGTCACATCTTACATGTCACATGTCCTGCATGTGTCACGTCCTGCATATGTGTGTCACATGTAGCTGTCACATGTCCTGCATGTCACATGTAATTGTGACATGTCCTACATATGTGACACATGTAACTGTCACATCCTGCGTGTGTCACATGTAATTGTGACATGTCCTACGTGTCGCATGTAATTGTCACGTCCTTCGTATGTGTCACATGTAACTGTCACATGTCCTGCGTATGTGTGTCACATGTAACTGTCACATGTCCTGCGTATGTGTGTCACATGTAACTGTCACATGTCCTGCGTATGTGTGTCACATGTCTCATATGTGTAGCTGCTCTAGAGTCTCCCCCACCTTCTACCAGGCTCTATACTAAATGGATGCTGCCCTCTCCCTCCCCACTTCCTCTTCCTCTCATGCCCCCCCATCACTCCTGGACTCTCCTCCCCTCCCTCCCTCCCTCCTCTCTGTGTCCTCAGGTTTCAGACCTGCTCTAGCTTGTGCTCCCAGCCGGGAGGTGGCCGACTGCCTAGCTCTCATTCTGGCCGCCATGACACCTTTCTGCTCCCCCCTTACAGCTCCAGAGTGCCCTCCCCCGGCCCCTGTGTGAAGGCGTTGCCACAGGTGACAGAGTGTTTCGGAGCCCATGGCCTCGAAGGTGCTCCCTGATGCCCCCAATAAGGGAACCACAAAAAGCAACTCGGACTCAGAGACCTTTTAATCCCTCCCTCAGACGCCTCCCTGGTTCTTCACGTCAGTTTGGGGACATGGATTTCTGTAATGTGCTCGGTGAGGTTCCTCACGCAGACACTTCTATTTAATCACAATCAGCAACATTTATGTGTTTTTTTTAATGTGATTTCAAATCTTTTGTTTTGGACCTGACAAGAGGACCACTTCATGGACCAGCTAGTGTTTGGCCAAATTGTAACTTGACATAATGTTGAAAAGCATGCCGTATATTTCTGTGTCATACAAGAGGCTTGTAGCAGCCCTATGGAGAAGCACAAAGCCCTGAGTACAGACAGGATGAATGCAGGGTAATGCACTAATCCGAGCCCTGCTGATTTTCCAGCCTTCCTTCACCTGTGAGCCAGGTGTGAAGCCTCTGACCAATCAGAATCAGCAATTATTAAACTAACTACCTGGGAGAACTGAAAACAAGGCCTGGATTTGGAATCGAGGGCCTGAATTAAGTAGCCCTGCACTAGGCTATACAGCAGGGGTGTCCAACCTTTTTTACAGTGAGAGCTACTTTTACAAAGAAAATACTCAGATGAGCTACCAAATCACGACAGCATATTTGGGCACCCCTGCTGTACAGGAAAAGCTTGACCACACCGTATTGGGGTGACATGCACGCGCAGGACATCAGCTGCTCTCCACAGCAGTTGCGAGCTGCCTCAGGACATCTGCTGTGTGCATGTGTCCGAACTGCCAGGGGGGTGGGGGGTTCAGAGTGCCCAGTGTCACTGGCTCCAAGGACGTCCCCTCTCCCTGCTCGCAGTGACAAACTGATTAATGTGGCTGATTTCCTAATAGTGCAGATTCTTTGTGCTCAGCCTGTCGGCCTGCAGTGTACTTGTAATACTTGCTGGCTTGGCTGTGTTGGTTGCACTCCATAGTGGTGCCAAGCCGGAAAAACAGGTTCTCAAATTCAAGGGCCTAAATATTCAAGAGGTGACAGATGGCTTGTCCTGTTAAAGCTTACTTTTTAGAAAAATCCATTTTTAAAGCTGGTTTTACAAATATGGATATAGATTTTAAAGCTGTATTCTGCCTGCATTTAACAAAATAAATTGGTTATTTCAGATCAGCTCTCTTGTGAAAAAGAACACTGAAAGAAAACAAAACAAATCCATACTGATGGATGATATTTTATGAGCATTTCTCAGGTTGAGGAATCAAACTCAGTACCAAATCTAAATGATACTTTAGTTCTAAGTTGGTTTGTCCTAAATTCTTGAGTAATAATCAGATTATTGGTCTTAGGTCACATGAAGGAATGAGCACTGGTATTAAAATACAGAATAGACAATCTTCCCATTGTCTAAAGATTTTTTTACTGACCTCTCCTGACAAAAGTGTCTTCTGCCTTTCTACTGCTCATGCCATTCCTGGTATGTGTACTCATCAGTGCCCCCTAGTGGTGTGCCACAGTATTTTACATGCATTATGTCTGTGAACAGCAGTACCACTGGGAGCCCTAACATGGGCAGGTGTCTGGGTCGGCAGTGTTGAGGCTTTCTGCCCAGCACTGCTGCATGAGCCTGATATTCTAGTGAATTCGGCAGATCCTGCCCTTTGCAGACGTGTGGTCTCTAACTCGCATGAGCCAAACATAAAATGAAGGGAACACAGTTCCCATGAGGTACAATAAGCTCACACGTTTTCTGGTACTCGGTGTCCCCTTAGGAAAGGTCACTTGTGCTGTATTTATTTTGTTACTATTTAGTATGAAACCATAAGCATCTTACTGTAATACTGTGGCAGTGAGGGGGGGGGGCAGCTCTGGGGAGTTGAGCTGCTCTTCCCTGCCCAGTCATGGCCTCCCTGTTTCCTCCGCTCAGCCCTTTTTGCGTGTCTGCACCTCTTAGTGCCTTTCCGCACCCCCCCCCCCGTCATGCTTTATCCCTTGTGTTACTAAAGCATTTATTTGTGCTTTCTGGTGCATCACTTTTATTGGTCTTTCTAGGCTGTACGAGAAGTGCACCAGTAAAAGCTTCAGTTTGTTTTTTTATTTTTAGTATGGACTGGAGGATAAGGATTAAAGAAAGGTACAAGCCGCTATAAATATTCTGACTTCTGATCCAGCCTAATTAATGTAATAAAGGAGAGAAATGTTATTGTATGTGTCTGCAGAATGCATTTGCAGAAATAAATATGACTAGTCTGAGTCTGGCAGGGGGTCAGCGTTAGACACTGGGCGGTGCCGGTTATGACAATCTTATAATTGATTCCCAGATGTGTCTGTTCTTGATGGTAGGAAAAAACCCAGGTTGTACGAAATGAAGGCTACATCTCAGCTACAGTGGCTCTTTTTTTTTATATAAACCCAATAAAGTTCTTTGCTTTGACCTGTATGTGGTGCATCTCTTTCACATAGTGAATGTTGTTAATCCAGTGTGGGTTGTTTTTATTACTATAGCTGGATTCGTTTGTTAATATTTTTAATTACATATATCTATACATTTACAACACTTTTACACTGGGTGAGGTGATTTGTACATGCCATTCTGGGGGCCTAGCGAGTTCTTCAGTGTAAAATCTCCCGGGACCTGAAAGGATCGTCCGATTTGGCACTTCCACCATTCTTACAGCAACATTTGTGTCAGTGCATTAAAAAGAAATAAAGGGGGAAAAAAAAACTCCTCCACAGTGTGCATTTTTTTTTAAAAAAAAGGCCAACCCAGTTCTCAGTTCACTCTAAAAATGTTTCCAAATCCTTTTCCTCCTACAATCCTCAGATCAGTTCATTCATCCAACAAAATAATGAGCTGACTGTGCATTGCTGGTGCCTGAAGTAGGACAGGAGCCTTGGTGGTTTCCTCTTCACTGAGCTGCGGGGGAAAGGGAAACATCTCCTTGCCGAGGAGGTGGTCTGGAATGGTTCCTCAGCAGTTCACCCCGAGTCCGGTCCAATGGTCCGGAACCATGAGGAAGTACTTGTCCATAGCCTCACAAAAGCGGGCTCTGTACAGTTCTGGTGACACAACCGTCGGCATTTTCCCTATGGAGGAGGTGCAATGGGTGCTGAGTCGCGCACAATGACAATGGAGCCGCGAGAGTCATACAGGAACACAGAACAGCTTGGCATTTAAAACAGAAAGCTCTGGCTAAATTGCACTACATTTCAAAAGTGTGCAATTAAAACCAGTATAGACTGGTAGTTTTTTTTCCCAAATCAACAGCATGAAGACATCTTCCTGGATCTAGCTCAATGTCATATGGCTGCACACCAAATGACTTACCTTGGCCACCAAGGATCCCTGTTGATTTCACCACCATCTCCAGCTTCTTGTCCCATGTAAATGTCCGAATGTAATCTTCAGAGAAGAAAATGTGGTTTACATTTGCATAAAAAAAATCTAATAGAGTAAATCACGTTTATGTGAAGCCATAAAGGGAGAAGGAATTGGCACAAAGGTGACAATGTCACAGTAACACGAGTGTCGGGGTGTCTGTTTCATAATGTTCTGTGAGAACATCCCTGCCATACCACATGCTCAACTCATAAAAATTTATCAATGGAAATCATTCCAACCCTGCAACACAACACCATCCACGTTGGCCAGATCTGCTCCGAAACCAAACTAATTCTCACAGAAAATAATTGCATGCAGAGTCTAAAAGACCTATGATTCAGTATTAAAGACCTAAACAGCCTTGTATAACACTGCATGACAATGGAAGCACCTTTGTGTTTGTGTGTGAGATCCCTGTATTAGGACCATTAGTTGAATAAGCAGGTACTGCAGATTGATAGGTGGATCAAAGCACAATTATACTTAAAGCTGTTAGAAGTACAAAAAAGTTCAAAATGTAAAAGAAAGAAAGACATAAGAAGATCTCAATCACTTATCAAAGCTGAGAGCCTGTCAGAGAAGCAGAAGAATGAGTGTGTGAGTGAGCAAAAGCTTGGACATCTCACCAATGATGCCCACGACGAGCTGGTTGGTGGCGTCGTCACGTCCCACCAGCAGGGAGTAGTCAATGATGAGGTGGCTGGACAGGAAGTAGGCGTCACTGTGGATGGCCGCGCGCAGGATGGCCTTGCAGTGTGCCCGGATGTACAGCGGGTTGTCGTGTATCAGCTTGAGCAGGTTCTCGTCCAGCAGCACCACCTCGCAGCTCTCCTTGCCCGAGTCCGTCTTCACGTTGCGGTTGCGCAGCGACCCCTTCAGGTCAAACACCTGCGCCATCTTGCGCCCATAGAAGAGGTTCTCCATCACCAGCAGGTCCAGCTTCTTCTCAGTGTTGTTCTGGGAGTTCTTGTATCCGATGCGATACACGCCCAAGATCTTGGCTAGTGCGGTTGGCCGCTGAGACAAACAGCATGTCAAATAGCATTTCTTATAGGTGTAAGAAAAAACCGACATGAACTGGAAATCCGGTCCCAGTGTCCACCAAAAATCCGGTTTGGAAAAGTCAGTCAAATCCAATAAAGCCTTTAATGCACCCATCACATCACTATCACCATTACTGCTATAATATTTCATCTAAGCATCAGCTTCAGTTACCTAGAGTTACAGTTGGCTTTTGCAAAGTGAAATACATTGACTTATTTTCAATGATTCTCTTTTCAATGTTAAATTGATCCAGACTGTATGCAGAGCTGAATCCACATGCATCATATTCTAATTGAATACAGGCAGTCCACAGATTAAGAATGTCTGACTTAGATAACATACTTATGAACAGACTACCATAAAGTCCATTATTAAAAGTTTGGGTTAAATACAGTGGTTCGTAATGATGAACGGCTGCACTATTTTGTGACGTTCTTGAAAACATTGCGTGGCTTCAGTGCTTCATTGGTTCATGGTACAGTACAGTACCATATGTAGTTACTGTTATTATTACTGTATTATTATTATTCCTACTTGCCTATAAATTCGACTTAAAGACAGAGGTAGGGAATGAATCTTGTTCGTAACCTGAGGACTGCCTATACTAACTAAATTAATGAATCCCTGTGTATGTTACTTATTTAGTTGCCTTTTTATGATGTACCATAGACCATTTATCTAGACATGTATGGTATTTCCTGAGAGGCAGAGACACAAACCCTTAACATACAGAAGAATAATGCAATTTGAGAATCACCACAAAGCCTTTGTAGACTTTTAGATTGATACAAAAAAAACAATTACTACCAGGGGTGATACTTTATTCAGGCCTTCAGGCCCGTAGGATGAATTCTTTTTCGCTTATGCCATCTTGCTCTCAAGGAGATACACAGCCACATACACCAATGAGCCAAAACATTATGACCACCCACACATGAGGTAAATAATGTTGACTCTCATAAAGGCAGAGCGTGTCAAAATCTGGGATACATTTAAGGTAAGATAATATTTGGGCCTTGCTCTGGAGCTCTGACTCAGGCATCTGACCATAATGATCTGGCCCTCGTCAAGGTCACACAGATCTTTATCCCAGGCTGTTTCTTCTGCATTCAAAAGGTTGACTCTCCCATATGTTAGCCAATAATATACATCACAAGCCTTGACATGCACTGTTTTTGCAAGGGAGTTAACGTTCAATTCATGAGGGGATGGTCGTAATGTTTCAGCCCATCGGTTTATAGAGGTGAGAGGGGTCACAGCGCAGGGGCAGTTAGTGGGCAGCGGCCCTGGAGCTGGGGGCTAAGGGCCCTGGAGCTGGGGGCTAAGGGCCATGGAGCTGGGGGCTAAGGGCCATGGAGCTGGGGGCTAAGGGCCTTGGAGCTGGGGGCTAAGGGCCTTGGAGCTGGGGGCTAAGGGCCTTGGAGCTGGGGATTAAGGGCCATGGAGCTGGGGTTTAAGGGCCCTGGAGCTGGGGGTTAAGGGCCCTGGAGCTGGGGTTTAAGGGCCCTGGAGCTGGGGTTTAAGGGCCCTGGAGCTGGGGGCTAAGGGCCATGGAGCTGGGGGCTAAGGGCCATGGAGCTGGGGGCTAAGGGCCATGGAGCTGGGGGCTAGGGGCCATGGAGCTGGGGGCTAAAGGCCCTGGAGCTGGGGGCTAAGGGCCATGGAGCTGGGGGCTAAGGGCCATGGAGCTGGGGCCCAACAGTGGCATCTTCTGATCACAGTGTCATAACATACAGATTCACACAGCTTATATGTACTAAACTACAGATACATCAATTTACGTACAATTACGTACAAAAACGTTAAAATTTACTGCTAAAATGAAGACAAATGCACATATTAGCGTAACATTAATGAAAGAAAAAACGTTCAATTGTTTTGAAACATTTCTCATTATCTAGCCCTCAGTCTTGTAACAAACCAGAGTTTATAATCTACTGCTTTTTACAGATACATTGACACACTGATTATCACGGACGGCCACTGGCCAGCACAGAGCAGAGTGGAATCAGGACTGTACCTTCTGCTGCACAGCTCCAGTGATGTAGGTAAAGTAGTGTGGAGCAAAGTCCAGGAAGGACTGCACCTCCAGCCTGGGCATCTGCTTCAGGATGAAGCGGTCATCTGGGGAATGAGGACACCACAGGTCAGGGAGCGTTGCAACTGGACACTAATGATGCTACGCACGCTGCCACCTATCCGTCACCTTTCACTGATAGCTAGGGCTGTGCAATATCACATCACAATTATATGGCACATGCGTAATAATCACCAGTGCTGCACGACATCAGATCACGATTATATGGAGTACGTGAAATATTTGGCAGGCCTGCACGATATCACATCACGATTATATGGTTCATTCACAATAATCAGCAGGGCTGTGCGATATCACATCGCGATTATACCGTACATACGCAATAATCAAAAGGGTAAAATTGGCAAATCCTTATGTTTAGTAAACTTTTTTTTTTTTTTTAACTGCCAGAAGTACCGCAAAACCACCAAGTTCTTTTTCAAGTTGTTCAAGTTGTTTATCCAAATCATTTCCTCTTTTAAAAGATGCTGCGCTGCTGACCTGTCTCTTTCTTCACCACCACTTCAGATTTCTCGCTTCCATGACATACCGAAACAGTAGTATGTGACATGCTCCAGTAACCAAATTCCATAAACGTAAGGATACACCTAATTTATACAGACTTTATTAATCATTGGGTGTCATACCTAATTTTAATATTGTAGGTGTACTACTAATCTGCTTCCCAAATTGTATGCGTGAGTAAACGTCTGTATAGTACCGAAAAGCTGGCATCCAGAGAAATGTCTGCACCTGTCATCTGAAGCCCTGGTCTATGATTATATCACAATGGGATATCATGCAGCCCTGCTAATAGCTTAAAATGACTATTTTTACTATTTAAAAAATGCTCCATGAAGAAGCATGAGCTGATGGCAGCTAGAGACGGGCGAGAGCCGGGCACCAGCGTTTGGGTGTGACGCACCCTCGGTGGCGTAGAAGACAGCCCCGGACTTGCCCCCACGGGCCTGCCAGTTGACGCAGTGGGAGAGTGAGCGCACAAAGTCGTCCTCCGTGCTCTCCATGATCTCCTCACGCATCTTGTGGAATTCCTCGGCATAATAGATCCGGCAGTAGAATTTGGCGTTGGCATCAGAGAACTCTGCAGCGCGGAAAGGAAGCCAGGGTGAAGAATGACTGTGCAACATTTCTGTGATAGAAAATGAGGCCATTAATGTCGGGGGGGGGGGGAGGGGGATTACCACACTCACGCAATTCGATGTGAGGGTTCCCAGCCTGCTTCTTCTGCTTGTCTGCTCCGTCAACCTCTTCTGAAGAAGAGAAAGTTTGAAAGCACATTACACTCGATTTCAGCCAAGCTACACAGCTACAAAAGCGAAAGCGAAAGCTCTTTGATGACGGACTCCATGGGCAGACACTCACTAAGCGGCTCGGCATCCAGGCTGACGCGGCTGCCCTGGGCGCCTGTGCTCTCGCTGGGTTTGGCTGGGCTGCTCTTTAACCGGTTGTCAGCAGTGCTTTAAATCAGAGATGCCACACAAAGTAAGGGTAACACTTCCACCTTGGATATTTGCAAGTTTGATCACATGACCTACAACAGCCTATCACAAGTGGCAGAGAAGTGGGCATTTCTGTACCTGCTAGATTGGGTCGTCTCCTCCCCCACGGCCTTCAGCGTGCTCTTGGAGAGCTCCTCCAGGGCAGTCTTATACTCCTTACAACTGAAGGAGAAGGGATGATTGTTACTGTATCACATGTGACAATGACAAAAATGCTGGCAGAAATCACAGGTAATAAACATCAAAGCAGAACAACAGAACTTCCAGACAGTGCTGCTGGCTTGGACTTCCTATGCAATAAGATACTGCTATATAAAGGCAATGAACTCACCTGAGAGCGAAGGCAATTATGGAGCTGGGTTCTCTCTCACATACAGCAATGGGGACTCTCTCATGTTCATACATCAGGTAGTGCTTGTCCGGGTCACTGCAGAAAGAGGAACTGTTAATAGTAGTATACAGAAAGGATGGGGGGTGCGTAGCCATTTAAATGTTATCTGATACTCTGGATACATTCTCTTTCAGAGATCCTCATTCATATCGATGATTCTAATTCAGGGTTACACTTACAAAGGAAAGGGAATTGGATTATAGCTGCTTCCAGGCAACAGGTTTGCCAAGATGGTTTTCATAGTGGACTTCTCCTTCACCTGACTGTCGTTGGAGCCCAGCAAGTGTCCATCTGAGAGAGACAGAAGAAGCACTGTCATTTAAAGAATTTACACTCTTCAGGATATGAGTACAACAGGAAATAAAAATGCTGACATTATACTGAGTGAAAAAAAAACACACTTAACTATCAGAGAGGCCTGATTCTGGTAATACATATACAGTATGTATGTGTCAGTCGAGAGCACACACCCTCCAGGATGCTGACTGGATCCCGCTCAGTGTGTATATACAGTATGTATGTGTCTGTCGAGAGCACACACCCTCCAGGATGCTGACTGGATCCTGCTCAGTGTGTACATACAGATTGTATGTGTCTGCCGAGAGCACACACCCTCCAGGATGCTGACTGGGTCCCACTCAGTGTGTATATACAGTATGTATGTGTCTGTCGAGAGCACACACCCTCCTGGATGCTGATTGGGTCCTGCTCAGTGTGTATATACAGTATGTATGTGTCTGCCGAGAGCACACACCCTCCTGGATGCTGATTGGGTCCTGCTCAGTGTGTATATACAGTATGTATGTGTCTGTCGAGAGCANGCTCAGTGTGTATATACAGTATGTATGTGTCTGTCGAGAGCACACACCCTCCAGGATGCCAACTGGATCCTGCTCAGTGTGTATATACAGTATGTATGTGTCAGTCGAGAGCACAAACCCTCTGGGATGCTGACTGAGTCCTGCTCAGGGAAGGAGGGTCCGGAGGAGAGCAGCTCAGAACCCATTTCTCCTGGGGACGGCAGCTGCAGCAGTGAAGATGACCCAGAACCCGAGGGCAGGGTGCTCAGGTGACGGTCCTCTGCCAGCCAACATGGGGACAGTTAGCATTAGCATCACCACTGAAAAGGACGCACAGATCAGGCTTTCATCCTCTGAGCCTCCTCACCTTTGTCTCCATTCTGCACCACGGGGGAGGGGTTGCGGGGGGAAGATTCCAGAGCGCTGGTCTGCCAGTACAAACCAGACACAGGTCTCACTCACAGCTACTGGCAGACAGCCATTTGTCTAATCTGATTTCAGGGGCTTTACCTCACATTACAGCCACTGTGCACACAGGAAAGGCCAGGTAAAATGTATTAGCCAGCTAAATATAAAACACTGCTGGCCATTTTCTACTGGCCAAAGCACAGCGACTGACCTTGCTGTCATCTGTTTGCCTGTGTCGGCCTGGGCTTGGTGGGACGGACAGACGCTTCCTGCCCTTTTCCTGCTGGAACAGGTCCTGCAGCCTGAAGCAAAGTATCATAGCGTACCAGTCATAATTACATCATAAGAGTCAGTATAAGTGATCGGGCCGGCGCCCCCTACAGGCCGGATAGCGCTGCGGCGCACCGCTCTGCAGCAGCCGCGGCTTACGGCCTCACCGCGTGTTCCAGGACTGCAGGCTCTCGCACAGGCCCTGCTTCTTAACCACCACAGACTCCAGCACGGCCTGCAGCTGCTGGGCAGAGTCCAGGGTGCATGACAGCAGACGTGCCTGCAGCTTCTCAATCCAGCTGCGCAGCTCTGCTTCCTCCATCTGCAGAGGCAGAATACCAGGTCATATGACCAGTGAAGACGATGGATGAGGAGAAACAAGGTAATACTAACTGAAAACTGACAGTTCCAATACACTTCTAGTAATTTGCACTGATTAGATCAGAGCTCTTCAAATCTGGACTTCGATTCCAAATCCAGGCCTTGTTTTCAGTTCTCCCAGGTAGTTAGTTTAATAATTACTGATTCTGATTGGTCAAAGGCTTCACACCTGGCTCACAGGTAAAGAAAGGCTGGAAAACCTGTAGTGCTCGGACCTTGAGGACCGTGATTTGAATATCCCTGGATTAGATGAAGAAATGTGACCCACCCAGTTTTTTGAGGCAATATAAAGTAAATAAAATATTTTGCGCTAATCCACAGAGAACATGACTCTATAACACTCACGTCTTTTTGAGCAAAGAGGTCCTCCATTTTCTCCTCACGCGTCTTGCTGAAGGTATCCGTTTTCAAGGACGTGAGGCGATCGTCGATGGCCAGGTATACCTGAGTCATCCTGCAAGGTGAGAGTGCTGCAGGTCAGGGTCCCCCAAGGGGCGAGATGCAGTGTCATGCAAAGTGAGTGAGGGAACCCCACGGTGGGACAGGACTCATACTTCTGGGAGAAGTCCTTCAGGTCCTGCAGAAGGGTGGCTTTGGATGGTCCCTGGTTCTTAATGAAGATCTTCGGTGGAGGGAGACAGATCTCAAGGAGCCGCACTGGGGTGTAGCTACGAGACAGAAGGTTGGATATAAACAGACATACAGTGGTACCTCAGTTCTCAAACTCATTAGAACTCGAATTTCTTAAAAGTCGAACCAACCAGTTCGAAAAAGAATGACCTAGAACTCGATCTGAGTCCAAGAAGTCGAACCGTGAACACTGAAATATAACTTGTATGCGCGGGGAAATGAGTCACGCGGAACGTCTCAACAAACAGGGTAACGCTTCAGTCTCAGCCTCGCATTCGCTGTGATAGCATCCATCCATCCATCCATTGTCCAACCCGCTTATTCTACTGGGTCGCGGGGGGTCCGGAGCCTATCCCGGAAGCAACGGGCACGAGGCAGGGAACAACCCTGGATGGGGGGCCAGCCCACCGCAGGGCACACTCACACACCATTCACTCACACATGCACACCTATGGGCAATTTAGCAACGCCAATTAGCCTCAGCATGTCTTTGGACTGTGGGGGGAAACTGGAGTGTAATTTTCTGGGGCCGGGAACCAATTAATTGGTTTTCCATTATTTCTTATAGGGAAATTTTGATTAGAACTTTTTAGGATTCGAGCCCGAGTTCTGAAGGGATTAAGTTTGAGTTCTGAGGTACCACTGTATTTTAATTAGTACTACGGAGAAAGGAGCTATGAAGGAGTAAGGTGTGGGAAAGAAAGGCTCCGCACCAACTTTTCAAGCAACGCACTTTATTCACCTACACATAACTATACCAACTTAGAACAAATTAAGCTGATAAAAGAACAATTTAAAGCAAAAACAGGTTCATACAGCACCAGAAACAAGATCCACCACTAGCATAGCTGCTAAACTCTGCATCATGGCGGCTGCATGGATCACCGCAAGCCAACAGCCAGGCAAAGCTGCTAAAATCGCCACCATGACGGCTGCATGGATCACCGCAAGCCAACAGACAGGCATAGCTGCTAAAATCGCCATCATGACTGCTGCATGGATCAGCGCAAGCCAACAGCTAGGCATAGCTGCTAAAATCGCCATCATGACGGCTGCATGGTTCACCGAAAGCCAACAGTCAGGCATAGCTGCTAAAATCGCCATCATGGCGGCTGCATGGATCACCGAAAGCCAACAGTCAGGCATAGCTGCTAAAATCGCCATCATGACGGCTGAAAACACAGAAAGCATCTCCACGAACCAACTTGTGTCTGAATTAATCAAACAACGCATCAGCATTAGAGAAGTTGTTTCAACTATTATTCAAGAATCAATCTGTAATTGTGTAAATGTTGGTGTGTATTTTATGTTTTTAGTAACACTTTACTTGACGGGATACAAATAATATAGTAGTATAATTTATAATATCATAGTAATTCATCATTAATAAATCGTGATGCATGTTTTAACTCAAGCAAGTACCATATATTACTATATCTAATTCTGTAAACTTTTGTGAACTACTGAAGGAACAAGTCATGAATGACAAGTTAAATACTAATATTTGTTCATCATTAATGAATCATGATTCCAAGCAGTTAATATATTTGCTCATGATTTGTACTTCAGTAATAACTGAGTTATTACTAAGTATTTATGCCCCGTCAAGTAAAGTGTTACCATGTTTTCTGTTTGATATGTTGTCTTTTGTAGATTTAATATAATTCACAAATGCAATTATTTTATAAATGATGGTTACTCTGAAAACCCAATATATTTTTTATTATTATTGGTCCATTGCAAGTTTCCATTAATGCTCTACAAGAAAATGTGGGCAGTTTCCAGAGATGTCTGCCTGAAACAGAATCTCGAGTCGGTGAGAATCTGGAAGCAGAACAAGCCATAGCAGGACCCTGCGCTGCTGCAGTCGTGCTTCCACTGCCTGCATTTACACAGCTGCACTTGCATGCTAACGTGATATTTTGGATATGCATAGACATTGAATATTTTGCATATAGATAAAGGCATATGCTGTTTTACAGACAGACAGCATGACTTATTTTTCAGTTAAGAAGCTAACATTACTTATCATAGAGTACTGTAGCCTGCAGATTTATGTTATTCACAATAAAGTTAGCTGGTTATTAGACATAATATTAAATAGGCAACCTATCTGAATCAGTGTGAATGTATTTCCATGTGTGGTAGCTAGACATGAACTAATGCATTTCCACATTGAATGCACTTTGTATACAGAGAAGAGGCAGACAAACAGGGACAGAGACAGGAGGAGATGGGGGTCGAGCGGCGTGGTGAAGGCACCGAGGAAGACTACTGGCACGTAGCCCTAAATCAATACAATTATACAAAATAATGTTTGGAAAAGAAACACATGGGCAAAACAGATTCAATTTAAAGTTTTCACCAAATAAAAAAGTGGTGTGTGTGTGTGTGTGTACTAGGGATGGCACGGTTCATGAAAAAAAACCGAACCAAACGGTACACTTGTCTCGGTTCGGAGCATGCATGCGTCGCACGGTTCGACGGTTCATGACATGCGCAATGTAGCCTCGTGCCCCGTATGTGACGTCAGTGTGTTTCC